TTTAAATGCCTTTTTCAACCACACTGGCCAAATGTGTTTGACAAATTTCGTCTATTCTTTAGTTCTAGGATGTTCAAAAACTTTCGTACTTGTTTTTTTTTGGCTAATTAAGTTAAACATGTTTCAAAAGAGTTCTAAATTGATTAGAACCACCATTATACCAACGAGTCGATCATATTGAATGCAAGACCCCGTAATTTTCTATACATATATGCATACAGGACAAAGGCAGTGATTTTTTAAATTACACGGTATTTTGTAAGTGTTCAAATTGTACAGTATTTATTAAACTTTACTGCTCGTTTAATCCCTAAAGGAAGGTCAAAACATTTTACTTTTATTTTTGAAACTAATCAAACGTAAACGATGCCCATCTGTGTTATTACGATCGTATCAACGATAATAGTTATTACAGATAATATTTTCATAATTTAGCAGTCCCCATAGAATGAACATACATTTTACTCATAGGCAAAACATATTGTATGTTTAGGTACAAACGTATATGTAAGTATATTTTAATAGCACACACCAGGCACATGTTCTGTCAGTAGTTAGTCTTTGTCTGCTGTAGTTTTCCATATCTATATTAACATTATTATTAAATATTTTTGTTAGAACATTTACCGAGGATGGCTATAAAACATCACGTTGTAACTCATACGAGCGAAAAAACCGAGGAAAATGATTAATCTTTAAGGAATTCCGTTGCGAGCTGCGAAAACTTAAGAGTTCCAAATAATATGCGTGAAAGATTGATTCTTCAAGTTCTTCTACATTATTTTAAGATTAACTTGCAGAAACAACGGGACGCGAATGACGTCGTTTATAAAGATGAGGGGGTCGGTTGCAAAAACAAAATTTGATACGCACACGGAGTCACTGGCAAAGCTAGTTCATAATATGAGCTAACGCGTTAAAAAAAATGCCCAATTCTGGCAAAAACCGACAAAGATGAAACGAGCGAGCCAAAAGAAAAATATTAAATGCTAACACCCAATATTGGTTTTCTATTTCTTATTAAATTGCTAATCCGCAATACTTCATTGGGACGATATAACGTTGATGCTGTTCGATTTGCATAATCTCTAGATATCTGTGTGATTATATAAAATATAAATCGCAAAGTTAATCCCCGTGAATGCTCAATAATCACCCATAATTGTATTATTATTAATGACACTCGCGTGACCGACGTTTAATGGTCGTCGTCAAATTGCGTGGAACGATATTTTTATTTAGTTCAAGCGTTTAACACTGTTATCCTACGTCGTCCTATTTAAACTGAGTTTTATAACTTAAAGTGTTGAGTGGTTATAAGTTTTAATTGGGTGAAAGTCTGCGTATTTAAGTCGTGTTAGCTTTTCTGTCCTACTTTACTACTTGAAAATATATTGTGAAAATCATAATAGATATAAATTTATGTGCTTAAAAAAATGTATAGACATGCTTACACATAGGTACACATATTATACATAATAGGTATTTTCCGTTTAAGTAGATTCACTATACACTAGCTGTGTCGGCGGCTTCGTCCGCATAGAACAGGTATTTTGGCCATCCAAATTGGTTTTTGCAAACCTGTACATCTTTTTAAATTTCAGCTAACCACAACATCGGTTGCGTTCCGTCGCTCGCGACCCGTGGTTCTTGCGAGTTAATCTTAAAAGATTGACATTTAGTGTCGCGGACATTTTAGATTATTTAAAGAGGCATCATTCTTCCATACATATTTTTTGGGTGTCTTGAACGGTTTTATCAGCGAACGCATCTGAAACCCACAGAGATGAAAATTTTCCCCCGTTTTGTTTACATTTCCCACTGTATCTTCGCTTCTATTAGTCACAGCGCGATGTTCTATAGCCTTTCTCGACAAATGCTCTAACTAACACGAAATATTTTTTCAATTCGAACCCGTAGTTCCTGATATTTCACTTTCAATCAAGTGAACCAGATGTTTGTCTGTCCTCCTCTACAATAAAAAAAATAATGCTGTATGGTATACTTTATAGGTATTATTTAGGGTAATGTTCTTGTAGATGAAAACATCGAAATATAAGTTGCCTAATATTGGCCGTTCTCTAGTCAAATAGAAACCCGTATTATATAGTTTCTTGTCCCATAAAGTTTAATTTATATACGTTAGACAAGGAAATTTAAAAGGGTATTTCGTTATGCGATCCTGGAATGCTTTTGTTTTAGTTATTTCAAACAACTTCAGTGGTGAGCCGCATCAGTCTACGTCGATGTATACCCTTAATTCCTCAGTGGTTCGATTCCTGTTGTTCGTTCATTAGTTTATTACAAGAATTAGGTTTCTTTCATCGCGGAATTAATAAACTTAGGTATAGGTAGAGTCACACATACTAAACTTGAATCTACGACCATAGCTTTCCGTGCTTTCAAAGTATTGTCTGTAGTTTACACTTATTTCACGAGTACGCATTTAAGTAAAACACTCATAATGGTTTCAAACGCATAATATATTAATTACATATAGGTAGGTATAGCTATCGTAGCAGTAGTTCTGAGTTTGATTAGTGACACCGTCCATCTCCAATCTCCCCGTCACCACGCCTATTGCAATGTCGGGCCGTAAAATTAAGTAACGAAAAATTTTTGCGTTTTAAACCGTTACAAAGTGTCTTATTTAAACATTAAATCATTATTATTTGGCAAAAATAAATTTTAAGGAAAATGTTATAACTAGCTAGCAGACTTGTGTCCATTCTATTCAGTATTTATTTCACTAGGAAATAATTATATCTCTCATTAATACAAACAAAAAATGTTTAATAGATATTTTATGATGACGTGTATATTATTGTCGAGTACAAAGTTTGCTCATAAATTATTCTCATATTATATTACTTCTAACGATCCCGCTCAATTTTTGTGTACTTAACATTACAGGTTTGCTGAATCTTATCATTACTTCATCTATTAGAATAACAGATAAATCTTTTTGAACATTGGAGAAGATTTTTTACGTAAAATATAATATATTCATTAATATCCAATAATAACGACATTTAAAAATCGAAAATAGTTCAATTTATTTTCGATTTTTAAATTATATAGTGTCTTCATGTGCAATAACATGTGAAAAATATTAACGTTTTCAAACGTAATAACGACATTATTTAAGCACGCGAATAGTATAAAAAAAACTTACATTTTCAATAGTTTCAATTTTGCATACATTAAAATTTTAAGTTTAATTTGTTAAATGAATATTAATATATCCTTGGGAAGCGATTCCATTGTTGAAATTTTGAAATGTGGTGCAAAATTTTGTCTGCCATTAACAGCTGTGACTAAATAAATATTCAATATCTATGGGTGCAATTTATATAATAGTAGAGTTACTATTACTCTAAACGACGTGTTTTAGTTTGCTATTATTTGTTTTGATTTTACTTTTTGCACAGTGTCTTCACACTTTATTGAAATAATTCATTTGTTCATTTGAAACTTTTCATTTGTCTGTCACTACTGAATCGATTTATTTTAATGTTTTTGTTGTTTAGTTCAAGTGTAGTTAAGAAATAAAACTCTTATAAGTGTGAGATCCAAGAAAATGATTTTATAATCAATATAATAATTTCTACAAATAGGCCAAAACTTGAAATAATAAGTAAGAGTGATTCGGGGTTGAAGATTAGGTTCAAATTTCAAAAAGGTTAGGCTTAGATTAGGTTAAAAAAAATTGCATGCTTTAATGATGGTATACTCTATCACAGAACAGAGGCAATTTCAATTTAATTTCGACAACTCACCGGAAATAAAACTGAAAATGTATGTTACAAAAGTATAATAAAGTGTATAACTAAATATGTTCACAGCATAACAAAGTTAAGTAAAATATAAGAATTCACAAGAAAAATTATAAAAATACAAATTATGCCGTAATTTCATTTTCAATGTTTTAATGAACTTTTTATGCATTTTTTCTTTCCATTTATAATACCGGAACATCAAAAAATTAACGACGTTTCCTAATTTATAACTTGTCGATAATTTTGTGTTAATATCGTTACTCGAATTATTAGGCTTCGAACTACCTTTGGTTAGACGGTTTTATGTTATTCGTAATGAAACTCATAAATATTATCTTGTGTAGACAAATTTATCAAATTTAACCTCTTTAGGTAACGTTGCCTTGCATTTAGTTGAAATGAAATTGTCGAACCCGTTAATCCATAGTGACAAAAAACAAGACGTTCTAGGTTTGATTTCTACCATTAAGTTTCTAAAGAACTTCATACTTCTCTACAAACATGTAAATCGTTCGTAAGAATAACGAAATTCGGCCTATAGGCAGTGTTTAAAAATGGCAAAACCACAAAGTGTAAAATTGGACTTCGATTTCCATCTGTAGATTTCCGAATGTTCAGAGTATAAAAGAACTGACAGCGAATGTTTAAAATTATGTGGCCGACGTTTTTTTATATCTTGAACAAAAATTCAAGCAATTGTTTTAGAATACATTTATGTTATATTGTAATTTTATGACACTATTGAAATAGAGAGTCTACCGATATATTATTTTTATGTTCTTCGGAAGTAGCCGTTTTAGACTAATAAATTAGCATACAGTGGGTATTCTTATAATTCTTTAGTTGTTGTGTTAGAAAAACCTTCGAAGGAATAGTTAAATAATATTGTAGCTTTGGTATACAACCAATAAATTATGTATTACTAAAGGAAGCATGCAACACTTTTTTTGCATACACCTCTTATGACGTCACAAACCGCTAACTAATCCACCTTAGGTTTTCATAGCGAAAAGTGTTACACACGTGCGCCCGCGCAGGCCGTATTGTTGTTTACGTCTCCACTGCCGCCTGACATGGCGATACGGAAATTAATTTAATTGTTTAATTGAAATAATTAATTCCTCAACAGTTTTATATTCTTAGACACTTGAATGGAAATGTTTCATGAAGATAAAAGGATTTGATAGACTTCTGTTTATTGTGTTCTTTAATAGTGTCAAGATGTTGGGGAAGAATGCGAAGTTATTTTTTGGACTGTCGATGTGTGGCCTTATTATTGCAATAGTTCTGTCAGCATGGGGCTTTCCGAAAATCGTCAACACACAGATACAAAAGGTAATTTTTAATTGTTATTATTGCACATATTTACTATAACAGTTTAATTCTACACGTGCATACAACAAAAATAAGCAGACCAGTTTAAAGTTTGTTACTCACGCTTCGTTTTTAGATTACTAGCACAAATATGTTTTTTTTGTCCTAGTTCTTCGAATTGTGGTGTTAAGAGAGTTAATATTGTATTTAGTTCAAGTTGTCTGCCATTAACTTCGGAAATATACAATTTATAGATGTTATAAATCATTGTACTATTTCTTTTAAAATACAAATAAGTACAATATGTTACTTCCTACGTTGTATAGAGTATAGATAATAACAAAAACAATATAAGTAAAATATACACTGGTTTAGTAAACATTTTAACTGCTCGCTCAAGATTCTGGGAAATTGGAAAAGCACCGGATTTTATCCTGTACTTTTCATAAAACTTTTGCCTGTTGAAGTTTCATGTATCCACTGGAAATATTTTCTCTCTTTTTGCATAAAACGTACTCTGCAGTGAAATAATCGTAAAAGAACCAGCGTGACTTGAAAAATATTGATATGATAACTTTCCTTTTATATTTTTAAACAATAATATTATAGTAAAATTATCACTTACGTTGGGCAGATACTTTTCTGTGTTCGTTTAACTGACTTCTGTGTGCTGCCGCCCAGAATATCTCGTGCTCAACGGGTTGCTGCAAATTGAATCACAGATTAGACGGGTTAAAAATTAACATTGGTAAAATTTGTTTCTCTTGGTTTCAATAAATTACAAGACGGTTTTGTCGTTAAAAAAAATTGTAAGTACATACGCAAACATACATGTTAATGCAACACTTTTAACCGTTTAAAATGCGAAACATATTAGTTAACTTATTTTAATTACGACCCGATGTTTAGAATGTATTTCGTGTTTTAAACCGCTAAACATGTTTTATTTAAATGATGAGTGTTATGCTATTATTACGCCGTGCTGAACAATAATTGCATTAGAGTTGATCAAAAATAACAATAATTAATTATAAGCAAGTTAACCTTGGCACAGGTAGGTGCAGATGGCAAGTTGCATGACGCGACACAAACAGAATGGGGTCAGTCTGATCCATTCTAGATTATTGTTGTGCATAAACTAGTGAAATGTAACGCGCAATGTAACCATGGAATACTACTAAAACTGTTTTCATGCTATCTCACAATACATTGCAAGGGGTCTTTTAAATTTGACAACACCCGAATGAAACGATTGCTGAAGACTTTATTATGCATCATATTAATCACTCTTAGTGGTTAAAAACGCGAAATATATTATTTTATTATAACTTCACACTAAATACAATACAAACTTGTATGTTTTTGGTGATTATTTATTTGTTTTTTTTTTTGTGGTAGGGGAAGACATGTAAGTTATGGATTCACTTATTGTTGGGTGTAATACCCACGCCCTATATTTACACAAGATACGAATAGATTAACAGTGGTTAATCTATTTTAGCGTTGGATATTATAATAATAATAAAAACCACAAATTGATACCGAAACGCGATAAAACTTCACGGCTCTTCCAACTGTCGACTGTTGTTCGTGAGCCGCGCCATTTCCAACATGTTGAAAATTTATAAATTGATAAACTTGTTGGCGGGGTTCGAACTCAGGACCCGTTGATTATTAGCCATATGCCATCACTAGCATTAGAGAGAACGAGCCCGTCCAAATCAGACTTTCATATATTGTAAGAAATTTTAATAACATCATAGATTTAGCCTGGAATATTTTTTGCTATATGGCTTTTTTTCGTTACTAACATCTTGCTTTCGCATATTGAAACTATAAAAGTAAAACTTGTATCCCACTGTACAATTATGCCAATCAGTTTGTCTACATTTTATATACGTGGGGAACCGTGCTACCGAATTGATATTTCTTATACCTTTATTAGTTCAATAGTTTAGTGCCACTTACAGCATGATGATATGACTGAAAAAACATAAAACAAAGTATTTAGGTTATGTTAGACTTTTATAAGTACTTTTACTTGACCTGCCTTCAGTAGCTGTGCTAGCGACTTCGTCCACGACAATCCTTATTTTGGGCATCCATATTCGTTTTTGCAACCCCCTCATCTTTATAAACTTAAGCTGTTACCCACGACATCAGTCGCGACCCCTCCCGTCGTTCTTGTAAGTTAATCTTAAAAGATAGACATATAGCGTCGCGGACCCCTTTTTAGATCGTTTAAAGAGGAATCATTCTTTCATACATAATGAGTGAGACCCAAAATGATGAATAATTTCCGCAAATTATTTCACGTTTCTCGCTGTATCTTCGCTTGTATTAATCACAGACTGAAACTGAAGCCACGACAGCCGGGCCCGCCAAAGCTAATAGCCGTATTACAAATATCCCCAATCCCCATTGTGAATTTCGAGAACTTTGCAAGGACGACATCCCAATTAAAATGATTATTATTGATTAATTATGTAATTAACATTAAGATACTAAAAATTATATGTTTCAATGTGACGATAAACATTGAAACATATTTGTTTCTTGTAACATCTACTTATAAGAAAAACCCGTGCATAATTAGTAAGCTGTCCGCGATTTAACATTGAACTCCAATTATTGATGTTATTAAGATAAATAGAATGAAAAATCCCAGGAAACACTTAGATACAAGAAGTAATACTTATATCTCTACATATATTCTTAGACTTGTAGACAAAAACTGCTAATAGAAACATTTATCATCTAGCAAAAAGCTAAGAAAAATAATACAATTTTTCATCACAAAGTGCCGCCTCTGTAAATAGTTAAACATGTTGCCTAGCATTCCTTAAGCGCGAGGCGTCCTGGATTCGAAGCCCGGAAAGACAATATATTATTACGATCGCGAAGGGCACAGAAGCCTGACCAAGTTCTTGTCTGTAAGTAGAACTGATTGAAACGGACATAAAAATGTGTTTGTCTCATGGGGGAAATGAGAATTTTATCATAAAGATAAACCATGATAAAAGACGATTGAAGAATTATAAAATAGAAATTTTAGATTTTTTACGTTATTGGTTACAAGTGTTTTATTTGGACATATAGAAGATGCTATGCATATGATAGAATTACATTTTCAATTCGATAACACCAAGGTAATTTCAAGTAATTGCGGCTGATTTTAAAAAGACAACATATCGTCAATTAATTCTATACTTTCTCATTATTTTTTTATTATAGGGGAAGACAGCATCCAAACAAGATCAGCTCAACGTATTTTGATATTCTCTGGATATTCTGAAATCTCAAACCAACCACTCAATCAAAACGTGATTAAACTTGACGCCTTTTTCATTCGGAATTTCGATATTTTTAATATCCAGATTTCGGGATTAAGTCTAACATCTCAGAAAAATTATATATTGATTAGAAACATGTTAAATCCGGTGGGGACCGAACCTACGTCGCGTTGATTGTAAGCCTTACATTTTAACAATGAGCCCGTGAAATTATAATGCTGAGAAATTCCTATATCACGTCAGCTATATTTCATATATCACAAGCTTATCAACAGAGTTTAACTTGAGTGGCAAGGCAAGAAAACTGGGCAAAAACCAATGACATATGACCGTCCCGCGGATGCGTCATAAATATAATGTCCCTGGGTTTTGCCCGCATAATTCTGTCATTTTAATTGGTGCTATTAGACCGAGAGCCATTGAAGGAGGGGTATCATCAACCCTTAAGTCCGTATTCGGATTAGGGGCCTTTGGGAGGCTTTGATTTTTACTAAGTAAGAAAATGAAATACATTTTGGAATTCGGACCTACGTTTGGAATGCTTCACAGCAGCCGTTATCATGGAAAGACGTCGCTTTACAACTTAGATAAATCGCGTTTTAAGCCGTTAAATATGTTATTCACATAGATTAGTCTATCGTTAAGCCCATAGGTGTTTCGTGTGAATACTTTACCTGCTTTTAATTATTATTTTTTTATTTATTTCAGAGTGTGCAATTAGACAACTCGTCCATGATGTATGAAAAATGGCGGAAATTACCAATAGCACTCACCTTTCAAGTAAACGTGTTCAATGTTACGAACGTGGACGACATCATGGCTGGAAAGAAGCCCATTTTGCAGGAAATCGGGCCTTTCGTATATAAGTAAGAGGAATCCCGGTTATAGTATAGATACAAACATTTATTAATTAAATTTTGTGACATTGTATAACAATCTTAGGAGACATGTTGTTGAACGTGAAATGGATTAAATGTGATTTATGATTCGACGTAAAAAAACACCTTTTCTAATATATTATTTAAAGAAGAGAATGAAATGAAGGAAAACAAAAGTGAAGACTTTATCGGAAAATACGTTGCCTTTTTCTAGATAAAAAAGTGATATTATAAACTCATTTAGCTTTTCTATATTATTTTCACATGTAGCCATCTTTCCAAACTCTATTGGCTAGTAGGGCAGCAGCGCGGGTAGTCGGTACCGGTTCAAACCACGCCTGTTTCATTGATTTCTTCCAATCTAATTAAAATACTATATTACAATAGTTCGATCATGTGCAAAAAATAATTTTCTACTAATTTATAATTTTTAACGTTAAAGTATTTTATTTAATTGTGTACTACTCGCGTAAACTATAGACAGTATTTAAATAAAAACATTCCGATTAGTCTCGCCGAATCCTCGCGGTAGGTACTACATTAATATTATAAAGCTAAAGAGTTTGTTTGAACGCGCTTATCTCAGGTTCGAATAAAAAAATCTATACTATATAGGCTATAAAACTTTGCGCTGCGACGAATAGTCCACATTTTCGCTCCTATTGTTCCAACAAACGGGGGAAATAAGGGAAGTTAAGGCTATCAACAATAGTAAACAAAAGATAATACCTACATTTATTAAGTTATACAACGAATTGTATAATCTGTGTCTATAGTAACCTACTAAACGAAAGTGCACAGCACTTTGTATCAATAGATTTAGCTCAGTGTGATGTTTTAGGCGTTCAATCGATTGCAATCGAAGCCATTAAAATGGTTTAGAACCACGCAGATGGAGCGCTTAGTCCAAATAACTAACGTACATTTTTATTCAGTGGCTAAAAATAAGCTACGTTCTTCCAATTTTATGACCAGAGTAATGAAATTAAATAAAACCACCGGGATCCTGCTTCGTTAAATAAATATTAGGCCCAATTTATCCGAGACAAAAATAGCTTTACGGTATTTTCAACTGAAAATGTTGATATCGAAAACGTTAGAAATAACAATTTAAGGTACTCTACATTTTTATTATAATATTTTTTCAGATAAAATTAATAACGGCTTTTTGTATATTAAAAATATGAGATTACAGAATATATATGAATACAAAGTTATTCTTATTAAACTGTGAGTTTCAGCTATATATTAGCAATATGCTTTTATTATTTAATTAAATAATATAAATAGGTAAATCTTTAATATGTTTTTTTATGGTAGAGGACGACAGACAAGCTTGCGGCTCACTTGATGGTAGATGAAATACTCCAGCTAACATCTGGACAAGATGTGGGTTCGACCTATTTTGGCTTTGAATATTCAGATGGTTTTCTTAATATCTTAAAACAGCTTGACTTAAAATAACTTACTACTAATTATTGTACATATCGCGAATATAAATTCACGTGAATTGGGAATTTTATCATTAAGGCAAACTTACAAACGTAATTATTGGATAATGAAAACTATAAGTAAAAAAAAATCATTTCTTTAAACCTTTATATTTGAAATATGAGAAAAACCGGTCAAGTGAAAACCAACTAGGATACACATTTTATATTTCTACCCCGTTTAGTGATCTCAAGGGCCTATTTGTTACCGTTTATTGATATCAAGCTAATACTATTTATCAAAGTGTTTGAATGTTTATTATGTGCACCAGGGCTATAGTAAGAAGTTAATTGTTCTGTTATATAGACAATAGTATTCTTTAAAGCAGGAAACTATGAAAAAGAATTAAATTATCTCCGTGTAACTTGCATTGTATGTTAATTTTTATTTATATCTCCATTAGAAGTATGAAGCAACTTTTTCTAAACAAACATTGCAACAAAGCGAAAAATTAAAACCATTGCTATTTTTTTTTCTTATTGCAGAGAATACCGCGAAAGAACTGTACTCGGATATGGTGAGAACGACACGATCAAATACACAGTCAAAAAGACATATGAATACGACCAAGAAGCATCGGGGGCTCTGACGGAAGACCAAGAAGTGACTATCATCAACTACTCTTACATGGTAAATATCAATACAAAAGTAGATCTTATAACAACGTATTAAGGTATAACCCTTATACACTAGAGTTAAATTAACTTATAACAATTTAAATTTGTCTTCCCGTGACCACGGCTGCTGCAAAGCATCCGAAACGTCGGGCCGTAGTTAAAGATAATTTTAGAACAAGTTTAACTAATTTAAATTATTTTAAACGTGTACTACTCGCGTAAACTATAGACAGTATTTAAATTTAACTAAAATATATCGCGTTTTAAACCGTTAAAGTGTTTTATTCAAATTTAAATTTAACTATATATAACTTTTAATAATCATAAGAGTAAAGTACCTCACCAGCAAAAGACTTCATAATTTAAAAAAAATTGACAATATATCTTTTTATTTATATTAAAATCTTTGAATTAAATGTTACCCAAGTGGCTAAATATTTTTAAGCAAAACATACAGCACAACTTTTAATAATTACTCAAGTTTAATGTAGATGTCTTATAGAACAAAATAAGAATTAACATGTTTCGATTTCCTCTTCTATTTACCTCTTTAGATGAATAGATCAGCTATTCATCTAAGACCGCTTCTGTACCTAAAGGGTTAATTTTTGCCTGGCATGGCGTTAAGCGCGAGAGGCCCTGAATTCAAAGACGGAAAAAATAGAATTTTATTTAGTATATCTATGGAGGAATTACTGATATTACTAACTAATATTGGGGCGGCACTGAAAACCGGCGCTTCTCCTTGGTGGTGAAGCACACGCCGAGTGCCTTTCCCCATTTCACAAGCACTCGTCCAAGTTTCTATTTTTTGTTTGTTTTTCTTCTTTCACTTTTTTTATAAATGTTAATTATTTAAGCTTATATTTAAGTTATTTATTCTGTCTTGTGAAATAAATGGTTTGAGTTTGAGTTAATAAATAGTGGGCGTATATGATTATATATGAAATATGACCAATTTTTATTTTCAGGCAACGAACCCAGGATCTTAACCTCTTACGCAATTATTATTTAGGGGATTTAATTAAAATAACGTTACCTTGAAATATAGGACAAGCACGTACCTTATAAGATACATGCGTATGATTATGATAAAGCCCATTGTTTATCATTCTCACGTTAATTACCGTTTATTCAGGAGTAATTTGCATTGTTAGACATTAGCAGACGTTTTAGTATTGTCTGTAGTTTATGTGATAAGAACACAAGACAATTTTTTATAATTTCCAATGACTTTTGAAAGGGACTGTATGTGTCATATAGCCGTTAAATGAACAATTAATATTTTTGATATCATATATGTAAAATTAGATGTTGATGTAGTCTAAAACGCGAAATATATTAGTTATACTTACAAATTATTTTTCCGCGGAAACCCCTGTGACCACGGCTGCTGCGAAGCTTTCAAAATGTCGGGTCGTAGTTAAAATCATTTCTAAATGCGTTTAAGTAATATATTTTGCATTTTAAACCGTAAACTACAGACAGTATTTATGAAATTAAATTCAAAATGAAATTAATAATCGATTAATAAATCGTTCCAGAACGCTATTTTAACTGCGTACGAGTTGATGCCTGGCATTCTACCAATGCTGAACGAAGCTATGTCACAGTTCTTCGGAGCTCAAGACACACCCTTCATCACAGTCAAAGTAAAGGACTTATTCTTCGACGGAATGTTTCTGGATTGTTCTTTGAACATGTCAGCCATAGGTGAGTATATGTGACGGAGATGGGAAGACTAGCATAGGGTAACTTAAAGAAAATAAAATGGTCAATCGCTATTTCTATTAGCAATATTTAAAGCCGACATAGGTCGATAGCACACCTTGCTTAATTGTTATATGGTTGGGGTATTTCACCCCCCACCAAGTAAACCCCATGCTTGTCTGTCCTCCTCTATAAAAAAAGATGCGCAATCGGCCTATTTTTGCTAGGACTCCCGGAAATCCATAGACACAAAACTGAGTTATTATAGTAATAAATATTTTACTGAATTCGAATCCAGGACTCTACACGCTTAACGCAAGTTTACATGTCTAACAATCGAACCATAGGGGCAGTCAAACCTGACCTAATAGAATATTCTCTCACGCTCATATGCCGTGGGAAGACACATTTTTTACGTCTACATGCAAGCAAGAAGCCACAGTATCAGAGGTCTAAGTTCAAAAGCTGGGGAAACTTATATACTTATGTAAGGTTTCTAACAGAGGTTAGGAACCTAGGGCTTTACGCAATAAACGCTTAATATATAAACCGATAACGTGAATAATAAAGCGTGTTTATTGAATTGAGTGTTTTTATTCATTAGGTCAGTGGGGCACAGATCTACTCAATAGAAAATTTTCTGATCGAAATAGTTATAGGGTTTTCTTTCGTAATCATTAAGCAGTGTTGATAATTCTTTTTTAAATACAAATAAATACAACTTAAAGTAACATATCCAGTTACGGAAACTAAACCCCTATAGTTTACGACGTAGTTTTAAAACTTTAACGTTTTCCGATAAAACCACGCAGTGTCTCGAATAAAGGAAACAGGGAAATCGACAAGGGAATCAAGTTAAAGCGTATTTAATGATCACTCGGGTACTTCATATTAAAAACAGATTTCACATGAAACTTATAAGCTTTTCGTATAATTACTAACTAATTTGTTTTATATTAAACAATTATAGTTTAACGCGAAATAGATGACTTAGCACGCGGGTAGTCACGGTCACCAAGAGAAAACAAACAAAAACGACAACAATAAGGCCAATACAATAATAATATGTAAAAGTGCTGATGTAATAATAGTAACTAGTACAATAATCAAGGCTAGGCATAGGAAAGGCAATTAATTTCAGTTTGGATGAATGGAGTTTTATTAGTTTTTACCAATAATGAGTAATAAATAACAATAAAAAATGCTAATGAACAATTGTTTTCAGTCGAGAGGTAGCTTAAGTAATAGAAAAAGTAAGTTTAGTTGTATGTTTACAGCATTAATATGTGGAAAGCTGAAAGCGGACACACCTAGTGTAATGAGACGCGCTGAAGACAAAAATGGATTCTACTTCTCGTTATTTGGTCAAGTAAGTTATTTTTATTTATTTAAATAAAACACTTTAACGGTTTAAAACGCGATATATATTACTAATAATATAACTAATATATCGCGCTTTAAACCGTTAAAGTGTTTTATTTAATGTGTACTACTCGCGTAAACTATAGCGGTATTTGTTTTTAATTTGATTAACGACGTCACATTTTTTGATGGAAGGTGAGAATGCCCCATCCATATAACATCTCGACAAGATGCTACTTTGGTAGGATTATCGGAAATCCACTGATTAAAAGCGAAACGCAATTAAACTTTATTACTTCTTCTATTATGACCGGTAGTCTGCATAGAAGGTGAAAAGGAGCTTTGCACATTCAAAGGACAATCTTTGCTTTTCATACAAAACAAACGCTCAGAGGAATGCCAGCAACAGTTGTCATGGACTCGTTTAGTGAAATAATTATATATCTACAAATTAATTTAATTAATTTCAGTGGAACAACACCGATATTGGACCGTTCGAAATGGTTCGAGGAAGAGAAAATATCCGTGAGCTCGGTCACATAGTTTCATATCAGGATAAGAAGGTGATGAACCACTGGGGGGACCCGTATTGTGGTATGCTGAATGGGTCAGATGCCACCATATTCCCCCCCATAGACGAGAGCGATGTACCGAACAAAATTTACTTCTTTGAACCGGAAATATGCAGGTATATTCTGCGACAATTACTATATTTTATTTAAATAAAACTCTTTAACGGTTTAAAACGCGATATATTAGTTAAACTTAATTGAAAATAATTTTTAACTTCGTCCCCACGTCGATAATTTATCGCGTTTTAAACCGTTAAAGTGTTTTATTTAAATGGGTACTACTCGCGTAAACTATATACAGTATTTACTATATTTTAGTTACAACAGGCGGTATAAATACAAGCTATACAAATGGAAATAGTACCTAGGTTAATAGCAGCACAGAATGCGAGGTCTTGGGTTCGAATCCCAGTCTCCTTTAGTTTCCTATGACCTTTATGATAGAGGACAGACAAGCATGTTGTTCACTTGATGGGAGGTGTAATGCCCCAGCCATATAACGTCTCAACAATAAGCGTTGTCGACCTAATTTGGTTTCGGATATTCGGAAATCCACAGACTGAAACCGAAACGCGATTAAATTTGATGGCTTTTTCATCTGTGGACGGTGCTTCGTGACCTTGACGGAATTTCCGATATTCCTACTACCTTAATATCCAGATTTCCAGACGAAGTCCAACATCTATCAGAAAAATAATACATTATTTATTAACATGTTGGTAACGGCGGGAATCGAACTCACGATTCGTTGATTAATATTACCCGTGCATTGCTGCCCGTCTAAACCTATAAATAGTAACTTCTGTAATTATGGTCTTAAGCGACAAGGTACCTCTACTTCCAGATCTAGCTACGCCTCGTTAGTCGGTCAGCGGGCAATCTACAACATGTCCGCGTATTACTATGAAATCGACAGACTCGTCTTCGCGTCGAAGAGTGCAAATCCTGACAATAAATGCTTTTGTAGAAAGTAAGTCACTTAATATCTACATAACAATATCTCTTTTGTAATGTTCTTAAGTACCTAAGCATAACACCTCCTTACCGACTTCTAGAAATACCGTATTTTTTAAAAATTCAATTCAATGTTAAATGTATGGTGTAGTTTACGAGAGAAATAGATATTTAAATAGTAAATTTTAACGGTTTCACGCGCGAAATATATTGGTTAACTTATTTACATATTATTTTACGAGGGCCCGACGTTTCGGATGTTTTGCAGCAGCCGTGGTCACGAGGGATTAGTGTAAAAAACAGTACCATATAATATGTTTTTACGTCCAAAATAACTATCCTACACAGACGAAGACGCTGGCACATCTAGCATTTCATAAACGTGTCTGTAGTTAATAAAACAGACACTTCATAACAGACAAGGTATCGCGCACCCGTCGAAAGTTTTAACAAGTTACTGAAGTCTCCATTCATTCCTCTATGAATATGCTGCAAGAACTCTTCCTCACTCCGAGCATCGTGAGAATTTTTCGTTAACTAACGTAAAAACTTTTAAGTAAAGCACTTGAATACTGATCCAATTTTGACAGCTTTAGAGCAAAAAGTGAGTGTGAGGTTTAATTGTATCTGAGAATGAGCGTAGAGAATTATGAATCTCAATTGTAATATAAAAGAAATTTTGAATAAAACACTATTGAACGGTTTAAAATGCGAAATATATTATTTAAATTATTTACCATTTATTTTAACTACGGCCCACGAAGCAAATTTGACTTTGAGATTAGGGACATCCTTCATCTTTAGTCCCCACGGCACGACCACGGTTGCAAATATTAAAGAGTTAAAATAAATTGTAAATAAGTCACTATTATATTTCGCGTTTAAAACCGTTAAAAAGCATTTATTTAAATATGTTCTACTCGCGTCAACTACAGAATACAAGTAAATTTTAAAACTGAAATATTTTTTTGCATGTTGGCACTATATAAATTAAAAATCGATTATTGAACCGATTTTTCATTTACAAGTAACTCGTTTCAGGAACTGGAGCGCCAAGCACGATGGTTGTCTCCTAATGGGAGTCATGAACTTGATGCCGTGCAAGGGCGCCCCGGCCATCATCTCTTTACCACATTACTACCTCGCTTCAGAAGAACTGCTGGAATACTTCGACGGCGGCATCACTCCAGACAAGGAAAAGCATAACAGCTATGTTTATCTTGAGCCTGTTAGTATTGTATTTTGAATTGAACTCTTTCAGTTGGGAAATTAATTGAAAATCTAATTGAGGTTTAAAAAAATCCAATTCCACGGTCGGGACTCGAACTGAAGACGAATGCGATGCGTGATGCTGCTCTACCAAATGTAAAGAAATAGCACGTTTTGTGGTTTCGAGTACCTTTAGTTTTAATTTATTTAAAATCAACTGACTACGCCAATGTCAATAGAATGAATATAATATATAAGTGTACAATACGAATGACTGTGGTAGCTAATTCAAAAACTGTCGATTAAAACACATTTGATTAAAACACTTTTAACAGTTTAAAACGCGAAATATATGACTTATGATTTATTTTAACTTAAAAATCATATCAACTAGTATATTTCGAATTTTAAATCGTTAAACATGTTTTAAATGGAGCATCTTAGTTAATAAGTCTTAACCGTGGTGGACGTAACCGAATTAATTTCAGAAAACTGGAGCAGTGCTGCAGGGCATGCAGAGAATTCAATTTAACATCGAATTAAGGAATATCCCAAATATACCGCAGTTAGCAACTGTGCAGACCGGTCTTTTTCCATTACTTTGGATTGAAGAGGTATGCATTACATTCCGCGTCATATTGGTCTAAATGAAACTAGGCGATAAAAGAAGTGGCGGCGAGTTTCTTGCCGGTTCTTCTAATTCTACGCCCTTAATTTGTATTGAATTTAAATTTCAATGACATTCATAAGTCTACCTGTAGTTGCCTCCGTGAACAAATAATTTTTTCTTTGACTTTAAGTAAAACACTTTACCGGTTTAAAATTCGAAATATATTAGGCAGTGCCTTCCAGCAACCACGGCTGCTGAAAAGCATTCGAAACGTGGGCCCGTAGTTACAAATAATTTGTAAACAAGTTGTATTTCGTGTTTTAAACCGTAAAAGAGTATTATTTAAATCATACAACTATTGCAGGGTGCAGATACTATGCCTGATGACCTCCTGAAGGAGTTACAGGATGCCCACACTATCCTGGGTTACGTTGAAGTGGCCAGGTGGCTGTTGCTCGTGATCGCGTCATTGGTGTGTGTGGGTGCTGCTGTGTGTGTTGTGAGATCCGGTGCTGCCCCCGTGTGGCCGAGGTCGAACAACGACTTTATACTTAATCCAGGGCATAGTTTAGATATCAATAAAGGTCATTAAGTTAGTCTTAATACTGCGTTTTATTGAAGTGTACAAAGGTATCACTTTTTTGTGTCGTCAGGACGATGATTGCATGCGTTTGAAAATAAGTAAGAAAGACGACAGTAGACAGTAAAGTTGGTATGTTTGTGTATGAGAATTCTAATATTTTTCACATGTGCAATACATTGTCTTTTTTATAAATTAAAAGGTTGAAATTATATTGCACACATGATGCGTGTATCAATGGATTGGATAAATTAAGAGGGAAAGGAGATGTCACTTTTTCAATCATATTTGCCCAAGGCGAACAGTATGTCGTCGTATCACTAAATAGTCAAAGTATAATATTTTCTCGGAGTTCGAAGTCAGACACAATGCAAGTCAACACGTTTTCAAACTCCGATACGAATGCAGTTTTCAATTCTAAACTTCACAATTGTAGGTATTATTTTGATAATTATGCAATTTTGCAGGGTGTTTTTTTTATGTTCAAATTTAGACAAGACAAGTGTTTAAATGTAAATGTAATTATTTTTAAAAACAACAATAATTTTACAACAATATAGTATATCATAGGTATTCCATAGCCATGTGAAATACCTATAATTATTTATTTACTACACCGGGCCTAAGGATCCTACGTCACAACGTTACGTCTTCGTAACTCGTGAGCCGTGAAACGACAATATAAAGTTGTTACGTAAATCCATCCGTTAATAAGTTCAGGGCTATTTTCGCGAGAATTGAACGTGACGTACACGGTAGTCAAATTCCGTTTTAAAAGAAATTTTCCATTAACTTCATTCATAGTTCTAATCCCATGAAATACTTTTTATGACTACAGTCTGTCAATTTCATTAGACAGAAGGACAAACAAGCATGTAAGAACACCCTACTTAGAAAGTGAAATACTCAAGTCTTATAACAAGATGTGCTGCTGATCTATTTTGCTTTTCAATCAAATCAAATTATTTATTGATGACTTTATTATTTTTTACATATTGCACATGAAGGCACTATATAATTTAAAAATCGTAAATATTTTTTTTTTAATTTCGACTCGGGCAGGACTTGACACGGAATTGTCAGCGTTCCGTGCTGGCTTAGTTGGTGGCGCGATTACACTACAAGGTATTTCCGCATGAGATCGGTGATTTGTAAACTAGATGACGGAACCTAACATTCTTCAGAAAGTCATAAATGGATTTAAAGGAAAAATGTTGGACCTGGTGGGGAAATGTATCTAGGATCTGTTAATTATTTACCATACATTGCTTCCATTACTACAACTAATGAGTATGTCTATAAGAGTCTAAAAATGGAGTATTTTAATGAAGAGATATAAAAAAATACGAACAATCTTTATTATTCTGAGTCTGACGCAGTACCGAGTCCACTTGAGGCTTCGCTCTCGCAGGAAACGTTCATGTCTTGTTTGGGAATCAAAGCGCCGACCGTTTTTATACACTGAATTGTGTATTTATTGAACTCGCATCTGAAATTAAGACATTTTAATATGTGTGTCAAGACTAAGATTTTAATTTGCAAATTTAAATAATAAAAACATAATGGTGAAAGCTTTTTATGTTAAGTATATGTGAAATGAAAAATTGATGACCCAGATGACGGGACAATCTGAAATACCATATAAGAGTTGGGTCGTGGATTCGAGTCCGTATCATTGATTTTGTTTTTAATTTAAATGGTTTTTTGAAGTATCTTTTGAGTAACCTTAAATTTTTTGAGTTTAAAAAAAGAGTTTTGAAGTAATATTGTACTAAGCGAATCTATATCATATTTTTTTTATTATGTACATCATCAAATTCATCTCGCTAACCCACTTGACCTTATCAGTGTGACTGATAAGAGATAACGTCACGTTATCGCGCGTAGGTGCGATAAGCTTATGCAATCTTGATGTATTCATCTCATGTTTTATTAAAATCTTCTGATGGGCAAACATATTTAGTCTTTATGGATTAGGGCTATTTCAGAACATTTATTAGACAATACAAAAATGTAATAAAAAGACGATTTTGAATAACCAAGAAATCATCTATAGATTATAAAATCCTTTTCTTAACACTAAACAATATAAAAATTACGAAGCACTACTTCGACGACCGTTTAATGTTAATTTTCCAGATCAAATGTAAGATGTTTGAGAAAAATTATATATACATTTTTTAAACTTGTTGAAGTCGAAGTCATGACCGTTGATAATCAGCAATACATTGCTACCATTAGCTCAACGAACCCTTCGAAAGACTTAAGAGTGGATGTTTGGAGTAATATGTTTTTAAAAATGTAATTACATTTTTAAGAACAATCTTTGGCAATCCAATTGCTATCATCGCGTTTCGGTTTCAGTCTGTGGATTTCCGAATATCCAAAGCTAAAATAGTTCGACAGTGTTTCTTATTTAGATGTTATATGACTGGTATTTCACCTACCATCAAGTAAACAACATGTTTTTCTGTTCTTCTGTAAGCTTTTTTTTTCATCCGAGAATGGTGGTTTGCGAAACGGATTACGTATTTAACTCAACTAGTTATAAATTAAAAATAAAATAAACTTTATCCTCTTTAAAATTGTAAAAATTAAAGACTCGTCTGTTCGTCGTAACTCAACAGAGTGTTTAAAAGAGCAACATAACTGAGAACACCCAAGAAACACAGTCCGGCTTTTTTTAATATGTATTATTTACTAGTTCTTATGATCAAGTGAAACAAGCTAATTACTAAGTAAAAAATACTAACATCTTACTCAACTGTCCATATTTGACAGTTAGCACCTTCTCCAACGCCAGTAACACAGTCTGAGGCACCTTCTTGTGTCTATTGAGGAGGAACCTGACCCATATCAAGAGATGCTCAATGTGTCTACTGTCTTCTAGAAGACGGGCTAACGAATTCAGTAGACGGTGCGAGTAGTCTTCTTCTAGATTCGATACTGTTAGCTCAACTGTGAACAAAAATTGTAAGTTTCAAAGACTTAAGCTACTAAGAGCTTTTATGTCACAACAGGCGTGGTTACGAGAGATCCATCGCGTATATTTCATATTTGAAAGCGTATAATTACTTTAGTACAAAAAGTCTTTAAAAGAAAATGAAAACTTACTATCACTAGGTGGCACTGACTCCACACACTCCTGTATAATGACGTGTTCGTTTAATTGCAAGGCTGCGATAAGGGCGGAGCCCCAAGACTTCTCCTGCAGCATAGATTTCACAGCTAAAGGCGTCGAACTGCTCTCAAGACGATACGGTCTAAAAAATAAGTTGACATCGCATTATAAAAATATGTTGTTTGATACCTTCCAAGAAGAATTCAGCCATGGCTTTCAGGTGATTGAAGGTTAGGTAAGATTACATTATTTATTATAATTAAAAAATGATGCAAAATAATGACAAAGACTTGTGTTACAATTTTTCCTGTGTGTGTTTAACCTAACATGTAATTTTATATAAATTACGTAAGTTGAACCTGAAAGTTCCATCGAAGCCCGCATTCTGGCTGTAGACTAAAAGACCTTCCGTTGCGCATACACCGAAGCTCTCGCCGGTTGGTGAAAAACGCACGCAATGGACTCGAATCTGGGAACAGTGGTTGATTATGAAATTCCTGAATAAATCTTTTGTGGGACATATATAAAGAATGATAATGATGAAGATACCTCCGGTTTAACTTTCCTGTCTGCCATATCTCCAGCCTTGACGCCCGGCAGACGAATGTTCACGTCTCCACCTTCCAGCTCAGTTCTTTGCTCAACTAGCGCCATGTTGCCGAATTCAGTCATGAAACGACGATTTATCACGTCCTGAAAATTATGAAAACAAAAGGTTATGTTGCAGCTCGATTTTAATCGAAATTTATTTCATATTTTCCAAGTGACTAGAACAGTAAATACCTGGCGATACTGGCTTTTCTATCTATACTACTATATAAAGCTGAATTATTTGTTTGTTCGTTTGAACGCGCTCATCTCAAAAACTATTGGTTCAAATTGAAACAATATGTTTGTGTTGGTCAGACCATTTATAGAGTAAGATTATAGGCTAAAAAATTACTGCGACATTGTATGTCTATCTTTTTATATTAACTCGTAAGAACGGGACGTGGACGACGACTTGGGTAACAGCTAAAATTTATAAAGATCAGGTGTTTACAGAAACACAAATAAATGCCCTAAGTAACTAATCTACGCTTGTTAGCTAAGTTGCTGACACAGCTAGTAGTATATATACCTAAACAAGATATTGAGAGATCAGTTAAGATCAGTTTGTCTATTTAGATAAAACTGGTGGACAATAAAACGTTAAACCCGAAGTTCCAATTTCCAATTTTATTACAATTTAGTATTTTAATACATTTTTTATTATACGAAGAAAGAAAGACATGGTAGATGACGATGAAGAAGATGCGCTGTCGCTTTTAGCTTTGGAGATTTGAGACAGCAAATAAAACATCATCAGTATGGAAAATCTCATACTTACACTAACAGCATCCAAGGATCGATTCTGAGTGATTACGAACTTTCTTATCAATACAGACTCCTTCACGCTGTACAAGCATACATGCTTAGAATTTCCAGCACCCAGAATACAGGAACCATCAGCCGAATAGCATATTGTGGTGAACGCCCTGAAATATAAAATAGTATATAATTCTAATCTTACATCCAAGATGGCGCTATACCCAAGTTGGCGCATTTCATATTTTTTATGTTTGATATATATTCAGCATATTTTAATGATAGAGGACAGACAAGCTTGAGGTTCACTCGTTGGTAGGAGGTACCGCAGCCATATTACATATAAACACTGTCCTATTTTGGCTTTGGATATTAAGAAATCCACAGTCTGAAATCGAAACTCGATTAATCTTGAAAGCTTCTTCATATGTGGACGATGGTTTATGACTCAAACGGAATTTCGATATTCTCATTTAATATCCAGATTACCAGATGAAGTCCAACATTTTTCAGAAGTTATATAATTATTGGAACAATGTTGGACTCGATGGTAATCGAATCCATCAATGGGTCCCTTCAGCCTATCAATAAGGGATATAAACTAACTTAGTTTTAAGCATTTTCTCCGGAGTTATCAAGTCTGTATCAGCTCTGCCCGAACCCAAATCGTTTCTACCCTCGATGCTTCCAGTCTGATCACAAGTAGTCACATTGAAGAAGCTTATGTTGCCGTCTAATGTTGATACCGCTATCTGAAAGAAGCATAAGTCACTAAGTTTGTGAGGTAACGTCTCTAATAAAAAAAAACAGCACGATAATTGTGTTACAATTATGTACAGATAAATAAATTTTTTTTTAGTGTGCATAACATACATCCATACATACTTCACTACTAGATATTGAATCTAGACATCTAATTTAGTTTGAAAAAAAAAAGAGGCTGCAGGGCTCCCCGAGTTACCCCGTGTGAATGTTGTTAAAGAGCTTAGAAAAGTATTGATTTGTTTAAGGTTTGTCTCAATTCACAAAATAATTGGACATAATAAAATAAATATACAGGCACATATAGACAGTTTATATATTTTATTACTTGAACAATTAAGTTAGATTAAATTAGCTTTCACTCCAATACCGTGAACAACCATATTATAAAAGTCATACCTCCTCCCCGTCAGGTCGATAAGTGACTTGAAGGGCGTCGCTGGTCATCTGGATAGTCTCGCATTCAGAACTGCTTTCAATGGAGTTCCAGAGCTTGACGGTTTTGTCCCAGGAGGCGGAAGCGAGACGCGAACTCGAGAGCACTGGACTGAATGAGAGGCTGGACACAGGTGCTTCGTGACCACCAAGCACCTATAAAGCGAACACTTATAGAGATAAGGAAAATCCCATTAAGTTATGGAGACTAGGATAGTTGATATTATGTATAAAAAAAATACTGCAGAATTTAATGTTTCCAATGCCTAACTGTTTGGCATTGGAAACTAACATTTGCACAACAGAAAAGGCTTATTATATTACTATTACCGGTTACAATGAATTATAACCATAAAAGGCATAACAATCTTTCTATTATCAAAAAATAGAAGAAATAAGTCCTTCAGGAACTGTACATTAATAAAAATGTACAATCAAAAAGAAAGGGTTAGATTAAGTAGGACTCAACTGTGTAAAATAAAAAAACTATTATAGCGCAACTGTATCAATCTTTTACCTCCAACAGTTTCCCGAACTTGACAGACCAGAGGAAAATCTCGAAAACATCTTGCCCGCCAGCCGCGCACAGCTCACTGCTGGAATCTATGGCCACACAGCTGAACTGCACTAAGCTGGGAGACGTCAGCGTTCGGAAGTTACGATACCTGTAGATTTTCATAAAGACTGGCAATGATATAAAATGTTTGCGTCGCACTTCAACAAAATCTCATTAGATAATTAATAGCTGTAAATGAAAGTGAACATGGGCATAGACAAATGGGGCGTGGAAGTGGGCACCACGAAGGCGGCATGGGGGCAACTAGCCCCCTGAATATTAAGCAAGCAAAAGTTTCTTATTAAAGATTGATTTTTTGTACTTATAACGGTAATCGAAAATTTGTTAACATGGCTTTGTTAGCTTATTGTTCATAAAACAATGTGGCATGTACCCCACCACCCCTCCCGAGGTTACTAAATAGTGATTTGTGTCGTTTAAGAGTTGAAGGTCCTTATAACATGCTACAAGTAGTGTTATTAAAATGTAGCAACTTATCATTTAACTTACCTTGTCAGATCATAGCAGCGAACCGTCCCGTCCAAAGACGAGGACACGAAGAACTTCTTGTTCGTACTGAACACGACATCTGTGACAGACGACGTGTGTTCAGAGAACGTTACGAAGCAAAAGCCTGACGTCGTGTTCCATATCTTGATCTTGCCGTCGTACGACCCTGTGACTATGTAGAGACCGTCCGGGGAGTAGGTAAGACAGGTCATGTCTAACGAGTGACCTTGTTGCTTCATTACGTACTGTTCACCTGTAAAATTTTATTAAATGATATACAAAGACATACATACGAATATCTAAAGAAAGATTAGATTGAATTTGATCCCTCACAAGCAATGTAATTGCGTAACCCTTACATATTGACAATGAATGTTTATCCTTTAGCAGTTTAAGAAGTCATTAATAAGAAAGATCATTGCTTTAGTAACGGGTGGGACAAGGGTAACAGACATGATCAAAGACTGTTTCTAGGCTTTGATCAAAAACACTGCGGAAATATATTTATTGTTAAGTTCGTTCATTTTAGTTCTATTAGATACCATATTTAGTATTTAAAAAACTTTAATATTTTGTATGTATTGCACATGAAGGCACTATATAATTTAAAAATCGGAATTAAATTAAAAAAAAAATCGACTCGGGCAGGACTTGAACCGCTAACGTCAGCGTTCCGTGCTTTTGCTCTAATAATTGTACAGAGTGGGTAGCTCAATTGTCGTTATTTTCGATTTTTATACCGCATGTAGTATTCATAATGATGAGTTGTGTTAATAAAAGATGAATCACTGAATACGGAATGTATAATTTTATGTATAATTATACATTCTGTATACATATAATAGTGTATAATTAATTGACATTTTTGAAAATGAATGTTTAATTTTGTCATAACAATATAAATAGTAAATTTATACTTACTCTGCCATTCCCAAACTAAGAGTTGCCCAATATTAGGACACCCAAACGCAACCCAATCTCCCTGGGGGGACATGGCAACACTGCTTATCCTGTGTTCGGATATATTGAGTGTGTGGATTAAGTTTACGTCTGGCATCTCGTGGAGGAAGAATATTCCATTTGAAAAACCTGTGGAATTGAAATTTGCAAGATTTTCTTAAAACCTTTCTTAATTGGAATAAATAAATTTGAATTCGAGATTATGATAAATCATCAATCTTTAATATAGCTCGCCCATTTAATTACTGATGGCAACCACCGTGATTATTAGGCCTATAATGAAGCATATATTGCTGCTATGTATATATTACCAGTAACTAACACCCTGGTGCCCTTGTGATACTGTGCAGCTGTTAATCTAACTTTGCAATTAGCTTTCCGTATCGCGTCCCCAATATAATGCCGTCCTAGCTTCTTGTATTGCAGCTTTTTGACTTCCTCCTTCACTTCTGTTTCCGGTTTCATATCTTCGTCTTCATCACTTACCTGTCAATACATATACATATAAAGAATAAATTGTAATATATACAGAATTATATTGTATTACTTGGTGAGACCTAATTGAGAAAGGCGATACTATAATTTGTACTTAATAAAGCAGAAATTATATTAACAATTAAGGACTGGATGCTTAGGCATGAAATCTAGGATGTTTTTGTTCTAATTTTGACATAGCAGTAAATCTTATAATCTATACTAATATATAAAGCGGAAGAGTTTGTTTGTTTGTTTGAACGCGCTAATCTCAGGAACTATGGGTTCGAATTGAAAAATTATTTTTGTGTTGGTTAGAGCACTTATCGCGGAAGGCTATAAAACATCGCGCTGTGACTAATAGAAGCGAAGAAACCGACTGAAAAGTGAACAAAACGGGGGAAGTTTTTCGTCTCTGTGGGTTTCAGTTGCGGACACTGCGAAAACGGTTCAAGATAACTAAAAATTGTGTATGAAAGAATTATTCCTCTTTAAATTATCTAAAAAACAGTACGCGACGCTATATGTCTATCTTTTAAGATTAATTTGCAAGAACGACGGGAAGAGACGCGATCGACTTCGTGGCTAACAGCTTAAGATTACAAAGATGACGGGGTTTGCAAAAACTAATTTCGATGTCCAAAAAAACGATTCTCGCGGACGAAATCACTGGCACAGCTAGTAAGTAATAATATATTAACGATATGCTTGTCCGTTTTATTTGTTTTTGTTCATAATCAAGACAAATTTAAAGGATTGCGTAACTTTTAACTTGATGACGTATTCAAAGCATAGTGTTAAGTGCGACATGTTCTGCTTTCAAATACTGAGGAAAGAAATCGGTAGAGCCAACTACACCAAGGTATACCTTGTTCAAGAATTTATTCTTACTTTGCATTAAACTGCTACATAGTTGTTTTCTTAATAGATTTTCTGTCTGTCACATATGTATACCTATTTATAAATAAATATTATATAGCTACTTAAAAGACATTTTGTTTTTTTATACTATTAACTAGTGGGACATATTTCTAAAACACTACACCTCGTTTACTTAAATAAACATATGCTTACATATTCCTTTTCTTTTTCAACCTCATCCTTTTCATTGATATCGTCTTCAACCAAAGCCTCCTCCTTTTTGATTTTCCTTCGTTTCTGGTGTGAAATCTGTACCTCAGACACAATGAGATCATCTGGATCTATACTAGCATCCCACAAACAGACCTGCCCGTTACGACTCACTGTTATTAAATCTAAACTCTTCTTCTCAAAGAACACGCCCACTATCTTGTCCGTATGCCCACTTAACGAGTACATATTGATGTTATCCAAGTAGTCTAAAGTGTATATTTTGGTACATGTGTCTTTGGAGCCAACAGCCAGCAGTCTACCACATGCCGACCAATCTAAGCAGGTGACTTCGTCATGGGCTTTTTTATATACTCGCTTTAGTATGAATGAACGAAATTCACCAGTAAACACACATGGAGCTGACATGATAAACACTGAAAAGTAATGATAGATAATATTGTATGTATGTTTCGTAAAAGTTACACAGTCACATTTACACATTCTTTAAAGGTAAGTAGGTGACACACTTTGGTCAAGAACTGATATAGTTTACTAGAATCCATTTGAATGCTCAACCAAGAAACATAGCATTTCTAATTTTACCTCCCATTTATTAGAATATGAAAAGTAGGCTTTGGTGGACTGGATCTCAGTTATTGAGTTCCTTTGATTTTCACATAAGTAATAATTGTATGTTTTACACTTACTATAAATATTGTATTGTATGAATTTATGTTAATTGTATGAACCATAATAAGTCAAGGCCAGTAATTCCTTAGGCTAAATAGTGTAAGTACTGTGTATGTCTTTATTAATAATAACATAGTCTATGAAAATTTGTACCTGTGGAATCACAGCATGCAGCAAAATGTTTTCCATCTGGATCAAATTTGACAGCATTTACCTGCTGCTTGAACTTGTATCTATGTATTACTGTGCACGTTATCAAACTTATCATTTGAGCCTCACCCTCTGAAAATATGGTTATTAAATAAGTATAAGTGAGTAAAAGAAATGTCATAGTGTTGGTAACACTAGACAATCAACAGCATAATATGAAAAAGTCTAATCTGAATAAACTAATTGAACAGAAAGCAGGTCCTGACCATAGAATGCCATAGAACCTAGTAAATATTCCAAGTAAAAAGGCATATCCTCCACCCACATTAACCTAATGAACTGTTGTGATACTTACGCTCATTAATTGCCAGTAAAACAGATCCATTTGGAGAAACATCAATTGCAGTATAATTATAATGGCTTTCAATTGGCAATGTACTTGATTTGTTTCTGTAAAAAGATATTTATCAAATTACCATAAAATGTTGTAAAAATAGTAAAATACAACTAATTCAGAAGAGAGAAATTTCACAGAATCCAGTAAAAAGTTTTTACTGCAGGTATTAGCCATTTTGATTTGTATACTTAAGTATAATTTTTTGTTGCTTTTTATAAAAAAAATGGTATATAGTTCAAAAATAATGGTACTCTCAGTTATGGTTGGAGACATATAACTATGACACAGAAACATATAAAAAAAATGTTTGTTTGAGTTCATTTGTGACATAAAATTGCAGAAAACTTACTGTTTAAGATTATATATAGTAATTCTATTACCAACTGGACTTATTACACAATTTCCATCATTTGTAAATATAATATCACCACGCCGGTATACAGTCCCGAGTAAATTTTGAAACTGAAAAATAATATTAAACTAAGTAAAAAACAATCTTTATTAATCCTAGATGACTTTAGATACGTGTGTAAATTGGAGCAGCTCTTATTGCCAAAAATAACAACATAATTATTGATTAAGCTACTTAAATTCTTTAGGATTTCGACTCAACTAAGCGAAGACTAATGGAAATGCTTAATATCCCCTGATAATGCCTTCTATACGACATGGCGACACGTCAAGAACCATTAAACAATTACCGCAAAAGCCTCATATAATTTGTAAGATATTTATTAAATGAATTTTTGTTAAAGGTCTAAGAAATGCCCAAAAACATAATTATTATACTTTTAAAACTCACCTTATAGTTGTACTTCATTTTTATGTATCATTTAATTATTATAATGAAAAGATTAATAATGACAATAACACCCGTTTTGCACGTTTACTAATTGAGGATTTTTTATTTATCACACTCAATAAAAATAAAATATTTCAATCGTCAACAAACATAACGTGCACGGTGCAAGTTTTAAGCACATGGACATGACATTGACACTGTCAAATGATTGTCTAACAAAATTGCCCTCTCTTGTATTAAAATAATTGTTGATTGAATAATATAAATTGAAATAACAGCAACTCAACTGTTTATATACTATCCCTTAAGTTAAACACTTTAAAGCAAAGTTCGTTACTAAATTATAATGTATTTTCAACTTTAAAACATTTTTTAAATATCTTTCATGTTTTAAAAGATTATATGTGTTTTATATAGTATTTGCATTTAAAACAAAAAAAGTAGTTAGGAAAACCTTCTATTCCTTTAAAATATAATACTATAAAACAATTTTTTTATACCAGACATAAACAAACATACTTCCCAACAATATTGTAACTATTAAATATATTACAATTGTACAGAAATGGCAACATCAACGACTACATAACATCAATGGTCTGTAGTCAAAATACTACTTATTGATTCAAAGATTTTAAAATAAAACTAATATTATATTATAATATAATGATAGAAAATAAAATATCTTGTAATTTTTTTACAAGTTTCATTTATTAAATATTTTTATCTGATCGAGTTATTTAATATAAAAATAAAGTAATGAAACGAAAGAACGGACATGCGCAGAACGAATTAGCTGGCCAGCGATCCACATCAATGAAATGAGTAACGTCACTGCAAAATCCCCAGCTCAGGATTGGTTGCGCACTTCGGAAGTAGCGTCATAAGGCCAATCAGAACTTTGATCATATCGAACTCTGCCTTGAACATCAATCGTCATATGACCCATTCTATTGAGTCGGCAAAGCTTGAGCCATATTTGTCTGTGCTAAAATAGTTTCGTGGAGTGAGTGTGTGCAGATAGTCATCACATTTTTTGGGACCTGTAAATACTCCCGTACAACACATTCAAGATGACCGACACAAATCCCATCTATGGACCCTTCTTTGGAGTTATGGGGGCGGCGTCAGCTATTATCTTTAGCGGTATGTATTGTGAGGAATTGAAGAGGAATTGAGAATGGCTGTCTTGGAATAGTATCGATCTGTATGTTTTATTGTCATGCGATAATAAGCATCCGCCCAGATTTTCATCCTAAAAGCAATGATCTAAACGTATTGATATGGTTATTTTAGGCGTCCTAATTATAGGAACAGCCGCGCCTTGTGGCATATGCTAAAACATCTTACGTAGATCTATTAGGCTAAAGTATATCGAACTCGGGAATTAATATATTGTGGGCGTTGCAGTAGAATTGCAGATTCCTCGATTTAAACATTTCAGTCATGTGATTATAGATAGCTTGACCTAATGTTGGTAGCACTGTTTTAACGTAAATCCCGTGATCGCACTTCAAAGAATTAGTTTAGCTATAGCTAGGTATACAAATGTATACAACCGCCGGAAAATGAACCTTAATACTTTGTGGAAAAGTTCTACCCTTTAATTATGTTTAAAAAGGCATTTGCCGATTGAATGTGTCATTCCATTGAACTAAAGGTGTTTTCCACCACATGTAGATGCCTAGAAATCCTTTACATCACAGAAACACAGTTTGCAGTCCATCACATGATTGATAACTTAGATCATGTGACTAGTCATGGGAACATAACCTAACTTGAGTTTAACTAACACTTAATAGATGTATTGTGTAATAGCTCACTATAAATCTGGTTACAAGCCAATAATGAACAGACACTTTAACTGGAGTTACTTTTAGAATATTCTAAAATTAATTATTTTAATAAAGGATAGTGGCTTAAATATTCCATTGTTTTAAATTAAAAGTTGAAACTTGCAACCAGCTTATCAAGGGCAGTTATGTCACTGGATACAGCCTTAGTCACATGACTTCCTAAATCTAGAGAAACATGTCTTTGTCAAACTCATTCTAATATAATTCAAGTACTTTCTACAGCAATAGCTTACTAAGTGCAAATAGTACGATAGTTTAATTAAAAATACTATGAATCTAAGTAGCCCTTACACACATATGTAGTTATTAAAGATTGTTACTTGAGTATATTTCTCATACACATTTTCCTTATACCTCAATTTAGCTGTTACAATTTACAAAAAATTACCTTAAAACATTCTTCATTCTGTATAAATGGTGTTCACAATACAATCTTATCAAATCCAGTATTCTTCTAGTGGAAATAATTGTTTTACAATTAGATACCTACTGATTCATTGACAAAGTCAATCCCTTTTAATCTTTGTACAATAAGATTTTTTTCAATACCGTACAAGTTAAAAACATAACACTAAGTCTTTAAAGTAAAAAGCTCCCAAGATATATAAAGTTTGAGGTTCAGGTGAGATGGCTGTTGACCTGATTATATTTATTTAGGTCAGCTGATTCAATTCAACATTAAAGTATGCCAGACATGTACATTCTAAAAGTGACTCCATATATACATATAAAACTATTAGATAATAAAATCATAGATTTTATGTGGCATTTGTCACAATTGGCAATACATTTTTTTTTTTTTAAATAGTAATTGTACACAAACACTAATAATCATTAAAACAAATATCTTTTGTTTTTATGTCAATAATGACAACATTCGTAAATACATCATAATGCACTCATAGATTTGTTATATAAATAGTTATATGTTGATTTCCAGCGCTGGGAGCTGCATATGGAACAGCCAAGTCGGGCACGGGTATCGCCGCCATGTCGGTGATGAGACCCGAGCTGATCATGAAGTCCATCATTCCCGTTGTCATGGCGGGTATTATCGCCATTTATGGTCTGGTAGTAGCTGTCCTGATTGCTGGTTCCCTGGAATCGTCTGCAACTTACACCCTCTTCAGGTAAAGATATTAGATAGTAACTATTACAGTTATTGTATGCAATAAAATTTGCTTGAGTTTAAAAGAATACAAAAAATACAATTTATATTGGGTGAACATAACCTGGTGAATAAATTTAATGTTTGTATATGATTTATTTTATGTACCCTTAGTAGATGACGACGTGTGTGAAAAATGACTCATTTCATTATTAACTTATTTTTAATGTTAAAATAAATTAATCTTACAGGTTGTAATGGTTTTTTACTCTTCTTCATTATTTAACTTCATTGACAATTGCAGCCTACAAGGTTGAACAATTACGTAGCCTCAGCACCTGCTTGAACAATTTGCAATTGTCAATTACATATTTATAATAAAAGAATTTCACTTTCTGACACAATGTAATACCATTGGAATTAGTAATACAAAAACAAAGATAAATTCAAGGATTAGATGCATAAATCAATCAACCAACTGATACTGTATTGTTTTTGCTAGATATTTTTTATATCTGTATATTCAATTTGAATATCTTGCTTAAGAACTCTGAAATGAGTTATTACTTTGTCACTTCCTTGTTTTCTGTTCATTTATCATTAACCACAAAGTTCTACTTCATTGATCACAAATAATTCCTCTTTTTGCTGTCTTCTTTTGTAAATTATATTTAAGCACAAAAGCATATTGTTAAGCACAAGGTCCAAACAAGAACTAGGCCATTGTTATTTTGTTTATTTATGAAAATATTGTCTTTTCCAGAGGTTTCATTCACTTGGGTGCTGGTCTCGCTGTCGGATTCTCTGGTCTTGCTGCCGGGTTCGCCATAGGCATCGTGGGAGATGCCGGTGTGCGCGGTACAGCTCAACAACCTAGGTTATTCGTCGGTATGATCCTTATCCTCATTTTCGCTGAGGTACTGGGTCTGTACGGTCTCATCGTCGCCATCTATCTTTACACGAAACAGTAAATTCTGCGCCCACCCTCCTCGCAACGTGCCTCCGAGCTCTATGCCTCAACTAGTGATCTATGCTCAGTATCGCACACGACGTCGCCGGTAGCGGTCGCCCCGCATAGCGCTCTGAGGCACCATCTGTATAGAACCTACCCCTATAAATTCCCATCGCATATCTCCGGCTCGACGCGGTACCGATGCTGCGCCCGCGCCGCGCCTAGAGACGCGACCTGTATAAACGTTCACACTTTTTCGAGGCTACCGCGCGACGGCCAAATTATTTATTCTTTTTCTGCCTACCCTCCCTATTTTTTTCGTTGCGGCTGACATAACATATCAGTTGATTTGCGTGACCACCCATCGCGAACGAAGTTACAGACGATATCAATTTTAGATTATTTTAGCGTTAAGGCGAAACTAATGTACAGTTAGAGTAGAAATTTAAGTCCAAACGAGTTATATTAAAATAATTTATGAACCGTTGAGTCCGCAGGGTACTGTGTACCGTTTTGAGAGTTTAAGGTGTAACCTGGCTTGAGAACACACTGTTTACAGCTTTCAATGCTATAGTGGGTGTACTTATCCTTACTGTTCATTGTACCGCTATTGTATTATCCGACACGAACGAGCGAGTCACAAACAATGTATTGCCAGGGATCAGTTAATAAACATGATTTGTACATTCCATATTATTTTGTTTCTACTTAATTGTTTGTGTGTTTTATTTACCTTGATCTTCAAAATGAGCGAACAAGATACTTAAGCGTAAGAGGTTAGCAGATGCTTCATGACACTGCACTGTCGTATTATATTAAAATTATATTACCTAATAATAATTATTATATATACTTGATGTTTCTGACGACTTACTATGTGAAATATATTCAAGATATTTTTATGTATACCTCATAGTCGAAATGATGTTTGAATGAATTATAAATTGGTAACTAAATACAATTAGGTAAAGTTGTATTTTATTTTAGGTTCCATGTTAGAGAATGTTATAATCTTGGTGTTATTGAATGAATTGTGTTAATAAAATATTTTGAAAAGTACTGTAAATTATGAATCGAGTGTTTTAGTTTGCTCATTTTACCAATCCTTGACATTTCTGATGCATTGATAAATCATACACATAACCTCGTCTATTCTAGGCCTTAGATTAGACACTTAGCAGAAGTTGGGCAAAAGCAATATCTCTGAAATAACTAGCATTAAACAACTATTACATATCTAACATGATACATTAGAATAAAGGTATTTTACCTACTTTTAGTTTAAAAAAAATGGACGACGCAGCTTAGAATACAATACGGCCGATATAACTTGGCAGTCCTGATCTAAGCGCGAAACGCTGCGCAGAAACTTCTTTATGATGTTAACGGTGGTAAGAGCGAGGGGAGCGGTAAGAAGATCGGAAGAAGGCTAGTGATTGACTCAATGTCAACACAATCAACCGCTTATTCTATCAAATTTTGTAATCGATTTAGATTGTGGATTTTAAATCGTATGAGATATTGTACTAAATGGTTTGATGAACACAGTGAATGGTGTTCTTAATAAACAATATTTAAAGGAAAATAAAATCATTAAAAACTTTTTTCATTATTGAACTACCTGATTTAGTTAAATATGAGTTATTATTATTTATATAATTACTATTTATACCTTCTTTAGGGCTTTTTATAAAATTATGTTTTTACGATCCAATTTTATCTATTTCAATAGGAATCGATTAAACGACACTGAAGGATCGCGTATGGACATCTTTATTTGGTTCTTTCGTACATGTTTGGTAAACAGTAGTGCGTCTCGGTCACTCCTTGGCGTTAATTTCGTTATTTCTGTCTTGAGCGCAGTCCGTTAGAAAAGTGATTATTTATTGTTAAATTTAATATTATTATTTCTCTTTTGTTATATTTTTGTTTTGTCTCTGTATTTTAGTGAAAGATAAGTGTCCGTAGCCATTATTCTCTTTGAATCAATTATTGGTATGTTACTTTTGCTTGCTACAGGTAAAATTTTTCATTTACCCCAGTAACGAAAATGAATGGCAATATTAGTTTTCTTTATGAGTGTACATGCGCCAAAGTTAGTCTAAACTCTGTTCAGAGCTGCCAAATTACGTCGGCCGTATTATACGTTCCCGTAATCTAAAACTTAGTTTATTGAAATTGCATAAGTTTGTGTGCATGGTTAATAAAAACAGCTAGTAAGAAAATTAAGGTGATCATTTCAAGACACGAAACTTAATAGTTAAATTTTAATATCTATATAATAGTGACCATTTACATTATCTGTTTTCTGAAGTTAATATTCAATATCTAAGTCCACAAATGCCCAATAAGTGATCTCAGTATAACTCATGGGTCTATATTATGTCTGCATTACGCGTACGGACAAGTTTTTCGCTGTGATGTAGTATTAGATATAAATTACTCACTTATTCATTCAATTTTAATGAAAAAAATATAAAATAATTTTTTTTTATGGTACCTATATAAATGCTCTGGCCAAAATTCAATAAACCAATAATACTGTCAACGGTATAATTTTTTTTTTTTTTTTTTTACATAAAAGTTCTTAACATAAAACAAGACATTGTAACGAATGTTTAAAAATTTTAGGCTACGGCCACGCAGCAGGCCGATTTTGTAACTTTTGACAATCAGTTATCAACTAGCCTTCAGTTGTCCACCGTAATTCGATGATAACTAAATGATGGTAACTATTGGTATTTTGTAACTTGGTGAGTTACGGTGACTAACATGGCGGCATAGCCACTTATAACGTAAACACAGAACATCACTATTTTTTATCGACTATTATTCGACTAAATTGTGAAAGCGTTGTATCCAGTGATAATACACGTACTTTAAGAACATTTTATTTAGACTACTTATGTCCTTGAAAATTACGGCTTGGCGGCTATTTCGAATACTTTAAAGTTCTTATTTCATTTTTGTTTATGTTATTGTTAATTGAAACGTTGTGAAGATGGTAAGTAATCATTTATATTGTTAACTATAATGGATTGTTGTATGAAGTGTAAATGTTTAGTTAAATTAATAACATCGTGCTGTAATTGTGTTTTAACCGAGAAAAGTTAGTGGAAGGCAAATGGAATTGCTGGTGGACTTTGCGGAAAGGAACCCCAATATAGCATTGGGACGTTTTCCGGGAGATTTGTGTACAGACATTTTAAAGTCTGTTACCTACCTATTATAAATAATATCTTTTAGATAATAATTCTGCTGTGACATAGTGTGTGTGTTTACTATGACTACACTGTGAAACCTGTATAATATTAGTTTTAACTATGTTCACAGAATTTGTACTTCACCAACTCACCACCAATGTTGTACCAACCAGCGAACCACCACCACAACACCGACCACATACAACAACTCTACCACAACGACGAAGTATCAAATTTTCTACTTCATTTATTAATGAATAATTTCTTTGGCTAATAATGTTTTTTATTATGCCATATCGTAAGACTGACATTCCTTCCCTATTTTATTTATTTTGTAATTACTCATCTTATAATATGATTTAATGTGACATATATGTACATGATATTAAAAGTTACACAACTAAAATTAATACATACATAATAAATTAGTTCCTTTTGCAAAGATTGCAAACCGACTGGTGAAATCTGTCAATCGAAATAAATATTTTTTACTCTTAACACCGGCTTGCTAAATTTAGGATAACATAATAATTTTTCTTCATTAATTACAGTTCGTCAAGACGTGTTGCAGCGGAAGAGAGAATGGCAAATGCTGTGCAATCACTAGCTGAATTAATTAGGGAAATTAGAGATGACATAAGACATTTTGTTAATAAATAGAAGAGATATAAATGGTAAATTTTTAATCTGAAAGTTATAAGTTCCTCTAAATTAATACAATTATTGACTTTTAATGTTAAAGCGTATTAAAAAAATTATTTACAACATCTAACATTATGGTACACTTACAAACCTTAAAATATATGCTATTTATATCATAACTGGGACTTTAACTTAAATTAACTAAATAAAGTTAGATTTTAAATAAAATCATATATCTAATAATATACAAAAAATTATAGTATTACACATTATAAAAAGAAACTTATTAACTATTTCTATTAAAAAACTAAAGTACTTGTCTTATTATAAAAAAAAATATTCCGAATCCCACATTCTCTGTACAAGAGTTTTTTATTTTGTTCTTCCGCTAAACTCAACATAATTAGACGTGCCATAATTCTGCAATATTATGAAACACAATTAAAAATCACTAAACGACAAGAAAAATAATAATCACATTGTTAATCACCAAAATATAAGAATAAAACACTACCTTTGAGTAGTGTCTTTCAACGATCAAAGTGAATAACAGTTTGATGATAACTAAGCGTACAAAATCGCAAGTTTTCAAATATCGATACAAAAACTCATTTACGGTGACGATCAACAATCTCGGTTCCTTTTGACGTCATAATCGTTAGCAATCGAAAATAGCAAATACCAAACTGGCTCTTTGACAGATAGTTGTTGTCAACTAATGTCTAGTGATTAACACTATTGAGTTACAAAATCGCCCTGCAGGACTACTAAGTACATGACGTGACTTTTAGCTTTTAGCTACAAGACGTAATGAACAGGTTTTGGTTTACAGTCAACCACCACAAGTACCTACATAATTTTCTAAATTCTGTTAACAGGGATGATTGAAATTACAGTTCTTTTCCGTATTTCTTCTACTTCTTAATTCGATGGCTAATGTCGTGTCTCCATGAGAGGAATGTTTTCCGTAGGCGTATTTGCATCACACTAAAATTGTATTGACATCTGACGTATGACATATGTTCATTGTATATCGAGTCAAGTTTGCTGGCGATTTATTATTGGTGATTGAATCAAAAAGACACGAACTGTTTTCATTAGGTTTTAACAAATAATTCATAATTTCTGAGAAAAGATGAAGCTAATATTGCTGTTGCTGCTATGTATTACACTAACTTATACAAATACGAACGCCCAGAGTCGTGCAAAGGTTTGTAACATTGAAATTAGAATAATTCTCACACCGGCCTCTTGTACACTTTAATTTTTATTTCATTTGCAGCTAGATGATAAGATACAACATCTAACAGATTTCACAGCAAAGACATCGATCATACCGCTAAATGTGAACAGGTTTAAGGAATATGTGAAATCTCCTCCGAGGGACTATTCTTTCATAGTGATGTTTACTGCTATGGCACCATCACGTCGTTGCGCTATATGCCAGCACGTATTCGACGAGTATTTACTAGTGGCGAACTCTTTCCGGTACTCCCAGTCATATACAAACAAACTTTTCTTTGGAATGGTTGATTTCGATGATGGATCAGACATTTTCCAAATGGTATGCAAGTGTTAACTTTATGAATAATTTATCTTTAAAATGTAATTACTAATGTTTATATTCAATTAAGAATCTTGGTAATTAATCATTTCAATCATTTTATACATAACATGAAATGCGGTTTCTGTTTTACTCAGTCTGTGCCTAGAATTAACAGCATTGCACTTCAATTGTAAATTGATGTATATTGTTTGTTTATAGAACTCTAAACTATTGATGTATGCAGTTTTTAGGCCACTCTTTAAATTATTGTATTATAATTTTTTCACATGTATTCTAAAGATTACTATTTCGTTTATTATTTTATTTATCTTTAATATTTTAGCTAAGACTGAATACTGCACCAGTGATCATGCATTTCCCTGCCAAGGGAAAGCCCAAACCTGCTGATTCAATGGACTTTGAAAGAGCAGGTATTCATGCAGAAGCTATCGCAAAGTGGATCAATGATAGAACTGATGTGCAGGTAATGTCTAGCTTCCACCAATAAATTTGCACTGGAAAATCCAATTTAACAACTATAGATCAAAAATGTTAGGTAATTTTATTCTCATTATAATGTATGTATTCAAATTATATGTTATATAAAATAATATTTTTGTGGTTTGGTAATAGCGTCATTGATTTTTTGGCCATTCTTATAAACCTTTCTATATTTCAGATTAAAGTGTTCCGCCCACCCAATTACTCTGGGGCAGTGGCGTTTACCCTCCTTGCTGTGCTAGTTGCATCCTTCTTTTACATGCGTCGGAATAACCTTGAATTTCTGTACAATAAACAAATGTGGGCTGTTGCTGCTCTTTTCTTCTGTTTTGCCATGGTGTCAGGCCAGATGTGGAACCAGATAAGAGGTCCACCATTCTATCACAGAACCAAGAACGGTCCAGTTTATATTAACAGTGGATCCCATGGCCAGTTTGTTTTGGAAAGTTACATTGTGGCTGCATTAAGTATCCTTTTTTAATCAACTTTAAATAAGTAATTAATTTTAAATACTCTAAAAAAGTAAGAAACTTAAATCTCCAATCACACTCAAGCTGGGCTTGGCATGGTTAACTTTAAAAAGATCAATACTTGTTTAGTTGCTTGTCATAATAAGGTTCACCTGTTATAATTCATTTTTATGTATCTTGTAAACAGCATAAGAACTTGAAATATAATTAACCTATATTACACACTACTATCATATATAGGTAGTTCTAGAATAATTCCTTAAACCTAAACTAGATGCCGCCGTCGTAGTAGGAATGATACTGATGATAGAGGCGTCGGGAGGAGTAAAAGGGACAGAGGTTAAAACTGCCCAAGAAGGAAAGAAGCGTAGATTCCAGTCTGCTGTGGGGTTATTACTTGTGTGTGTGTTCTTCTCTCTTCTACTGTCAGTGTTTAGGTCTAAAACCCAGGGATATCCTTACAGGTAATTCTCACAAAATATTTATACTAATATTCATTTACAAGATATAAATGTTAACTAATTTTTATTTTTTACAGTTTTCTTTTCAAGTGAGGATGAAAATTCTATGGAGGTTTAGGCAGCCACTCCAATATTTGTTACTTATAGTTTGCAATTTGAGTGATAATAATAAAACAAAATTTATTTATAGATGATGTCTTTGACTTAATTAAAATATTATATATAATCCCAAAATATATTATCATTTATGATTTTTTTAATTTCATATATAAAATTAAAAGTCTTTTAATAATCTAGTTCTCTTAAACATTCTATAATAAATACAAGATAAACACTGTAAGTCATGTATACATGGCCCACATGACACTTACTGAACACTTCTATTGTTGGGGGCCAAACCTTATACTGGTTTTCCAGTAATTAAATAACATGAATAGTATTACAAACTGAAACTGGGGATTATAAAAACCCTGGGAAAATAGCATCTCTTTTCAAAGGATATTCTTTAAAGGTATTCTTGTACCAGACATGGGCATGAATTGCAGTCTGAATCTGAAATTTAAAGAATAATTTTACTAAATGAGTATTTAATCAAAATATGTTTTGAGTCATGGACTACTATTTTTTTGGAGTTTCAAGGCTTATCTTCAAGTCAAAAGTGCTCTGTTAATTTGTTGAAAACCAACAAGTCTAAATTATGCTACACTAAATTTTTGTTGACACATTTTTACCATTGCAGTGGATAAGAAATCTAATAATAACTTACCTGATTACAGAGGACCCATAAATAAATGCAGAAGTAAGTTTTGGTTGGCACTAAAAGTATAATTACTGTATAAATTATAATCTCGCATAACCGATGTGGACTAGAAACACGCTCGAAAAGTCTTCCATGAGGGATTTTGTGCGATTCAGTTATGACTTTCCCAGTTCTATCCTTTCTTAGATTAGCAAAAATGACATTGGATTTGTACTGCTCGTAAAATGCCCATAGGAATGCTAAAATGCATGGTAATGACAAAAACTTTGTTCTTGTATCAATCCATAGTACTTTACTTCTGTCATTGCTACCTGTAAACAGATCATATTAGGCGAATAGTCATGCACTGCTTATCGAGAAAGTTCCTTGATGAGAAAGCTGGGATAACAAATTGTTTTAATTGTATCAGTGAAGCATACATGAATATAATACTATGTCCCAATTATCAATTTTCAGAGGTTGTTTTATTGATTAATTGAACATTAATTTAAAGTAAAAAATCTTACCACAAAACAGTGGACCCTGCCCGACAGTAGCTACAACCACTGCAAAGTAATGAACTAGCCCGGCTATGTAATGGCTAAGATTCATTTTACTATCTTTTGCAAAAACTTGGAGGAAGTATGTCTCGTAGCACCGTCTTATACATTGTATAGTGACTAATAATAATGCTAAACACACTGCTGCAGCGGATACTGAAATTAAATATACTTTAATAAAAAAAATTAAGCCTATTACAATTGAATATATTGCTAAGTTTGGCTAACAATGTTGAGCCTGGCAGTATATATTAAATTATTTGTATTAACATTTTGATAAGTAAACTGGCTTATCCTTACCAGAAGGCTCGTCCTGCTCCAGTATCAAACTCAACATAAAAACAATGTATCTATGAACACTATATTCAAAGTAATAAACTAACACAGCATAAGCCAGAGTGAGGGCACTGAACACAGAGGAAAATGCATAGAAATGTCTATAAAGCGCCTTTGGCACTTCAATTATTTGAAGATAATTAGCGTCGGACCCTTGATACGCGAAAGCTCCGTACTTAAAACCTTTGATTATAAATGCCGGTACGTGTTTCTCGTAGTGGTTGATCAAGAAGCCAGTAAAGGCTACCATAAAGGCCAAGCTTAGGAAACCCAGGTCTAAGATATTTAACATTGTCGTAGTTATCGTCACTGCTTTTTGTATGTTTATTAACTGTAGAAACCGTAAACAGAAACTGGGACATAACGGTGAGAGGAGGTGGGTTATGTTAATGATTTCTCTTGTTATTTGGTCTCCTTTCTAAATGCAGTAAGTATATATTTATCAGGTCTTTTTTTCAATTATAATCCGTATTACGATATGACAGGGTCGATTCTAAAATAACACGACGTTTGTTTACGTCTAATGTCAATTTGACATAATATGCGTTATACGTTCAAAACGTCACAAAATTCTCCGTCAAATGTTACTATTAATTTATAAATTTTAACAATAGTTTATAAATTAATAGTAGTTTATTGAATAAACGATTATAATGAACGTAATTATGACGTCTATTGTAATGGTCTTTAAAATTTGCGTTATAAATTCATAGTTTTATCATATTCATGCAATATTTATGATTTAGGACGATGTTTTGAGCTTGTACTACTAGGTGGCACTGATTTAAAGAGCTAAGTATGTACGATCCTTTTCATTGTCGATAGACTGAAAATTTATTTTTTAATGTAATATTTAAATAAAAATTGTAACGTTGCTTTATATTCTAAGAAAGAATCCCTTGTTGTAATAAACTACGTGACAAAAAACTATTGTGTCGAGTTTTCCGTTAAAAGACTCAGTTCGTTTTGGAAAGGTAGCAAAGAACTTAGCATAAGTGAAATCCTGTTCATTGGGCATAAGGGGAAACATTTTTGTGATCGTTTCACTAATCGGCTTTATTTACAGGCTAGTAATTGATCAAACTATTACGCCCTGCCCGTCCCAAACAATATTTTAATATTTAACCATTTAGGTACAGACTACAGAGGCGGTCATAAATAGAAAAAAGTTTTATCATCACCTAAGACAAACTCGAATTTATAAAACTATTGACTCGGAACATAATATTATTTAGTTACAAATCAATTTACAGTTGGCTACACAGCGTCATTTCAATTAATTTCCTCGTCCCATTAAACACGTCTGCCGTAATAAACGTTCGGCTGTCGATAAAATGGAAAATAGACTTGCAAATGAACCGCGGTTATCTAACTAAAAATCAAATCGTTTAAGAGGGTATGTCACTGTCGATTCCGATGTTCCGCCCCATTTCATCTTGATGACTTGAGAGCGTTCTAGATTGGTTTGACGTGATGACGCTAAAAGTAAGTGCTTATTATTTCACCAACAAGGACTAATTTGGTCGTTGAAAGCGATTTTAGATCAAAAATGCAGAGAAGAAGCAAGCTTATAAGTTTGATAGGTAAAGATTTTGAAAGTCTATCCTAAGTATACAATTAACGTGTAGAAAGATTTCTTTACTGAAATAGATTTGGCTATATTATAGGCTGGGCACACAATAATGAGTAAGTAAGGCGTTAATAAGAATGTAACAGAAGGAGTAAAAAGAAGTAGAAAAGGTTGAAAGTGGCCTTTATTGTGCACACGCATCTTCCTAAATTTTGGAAGACACAAATTTGAATGTAAAATAAATACGTATGTAAAACTTGATTCGAATAAAGGAAACTAATTTAATTTTTAAGAATCTAAAGTCTTCAGCCCCACAATATGGGTATTTTCTCATGGTTAGAGTAATGGAAATGACTTTATTTAGCTCTAAGTTCATTAAACCAAAGGCACTCGCAATTTCCGAAAATATCACACATGCTTAACAAATACGTTTTTAATTGGAGCCAAGTAGATAAAGTTATTGACGGACGGCTTCTGAGAAACTGACATTAGCATTAAGATATCAAGGTCGATTTTCATTCTCATTAGGCAATTACTCGGTGATCCAGACTGTGTGAATATTAATGCGCAACCCCTCATCAGAGACGTATAAAATGGGTTAATATCACACGTTCTCACACATTCCAAAGCGTTCGCTCGTCTAAGAAACTTCAAAGGTGAGTTTGCTTTTGTGCCGTCAGTTTATTATGACTTCCCGGTATATATTAGTTTCTCTTCTCATAATTATTTAATGAGTTTCTGTATTCACACCATCATCATTATTTCCCCCCTTCCTTTTGAAAATCTATTCGTGTCATCAGTATAGAAATCCTGAAAGGAGGGGAAAATAAATGCGGGGAACTAAAGTTTAAGGGGGTAGAACAAGGTCTATTATTGTGTAGGGATCTAAAAATTATCAACGGAAATTACTTAGAAGCTGATTATCATATCAGATTCTTTGCCACTTCCATCATTAACTAATGGTTTTAAAGCCCTTTCTACATTCGTGAGTAGGTATAGTAACAAATGAAGACAATTATTTTTTTGGGAATTTCAATATCTTCGGTATCTCTTGAATTATTTACTGCTAAGCGATATTCTTAACTCTATAATAAGTTTATATCTTATCATTATTAGATGCAGTCACAAAGGCTTTGTATCATCTTCTTCGCGGTGCTGATCTCAGCTTGCTGCGGTCACATCGGCGGTGGGGTAGCCCTCCAAGATGTCAGTCCTCAAGTTTATTGCGGTCGGACCTTGGCTAAGGCACTAGCCTTACTCTGTTTTGATGAACCGTCTAGCGAGAAACGATCTGAAAGTGGAACTATGTACAGTAAGTGTTGTATACGATAAAGTAGAAGACAGTTTTTTACTGCCCTTTGAAGCCGGACCGCTTCTGTAGCTAAATGATTTGCATTGCGTTAAGCGCGAGAGGTCTTGGGTTCGAATCCCGGGGAAACAATAAATTGTTTCGGTCGGGCAGGGTACAGAAGTCTGATCAATTGTAATCGTAAATAAAAACCGATCATTTAAACGGACACAGAAATTTGTTCGCCTCCTGCTCCTTCTATAATTTTAGAAATCATTGCTTTTACAGGAAATTAAATACTTTTTCTAGTAATACTTATCTTTAAAAACGTTTATCGTTGCAGATTCCATTTTAACTCCATATTACAAGGAACAAGACACCCAACTCGGCTGGCCATGGATGCCATCACACAAAGCCCGGTCCATGGGCCTACCTTCTCGCGGAAAACGTCAGTTTGTAGTCAACGAATGTTGCGACAAAGCTTGTAGCATCAACGAGTTATTGTCATACTGTTAGTTTCACTGGGTGTGCAAATCTTTGAACTGCTAAGTAAGAAAACCTAGAACTGACTTTTAATTTTAATCTGTTCGTGCGCATCTCTCTAGTGGGAAATCTTCTTAAAATTTGTTGGCTATATAAGAACAATCGTCTTTTTTTATGTACATATTAACATTTATAGATAGCTAACGGCGTAACGTTTTGGATCAATATCTATATTTTTTGTCCGTTCATAGTTTTGTATACTTTATAATATGTAAAGGCCACGAACGAAGCAGTACTTGCTATGTTATGTATATTCGATATATTTTGCGGATTGGAATGATTTGTTGTTGATTTTTTAAATTCTAGTCATCGTTAGTGTTGTGATATTTTAAGGGAAATAAACATTTTAAGTGTTGCAATATACATGCTTATTATTTAGTTATTTGTTACCCAGGAAAGATGGACATTGGAAAATTGTTAACGTAAGTGTCGATCGCTGTAATATCTAATTTGTTTAATATAAGTTACTATTGCAGATCTTTAACACACGACTTGAACGTAGGTACTATTATAATATGATAGCCCATTGTTAATTATGTGTGTTACACAATCCTTCGTTCCTTGGACACAATCTTTGAAATAATTTCTTCTGATAATGGAGTGATTCTCCAAACATTCTAGTCTAGTCTACTCCAATTATGACTAGACTAGACTAACTGGGATGTTACAATTACTAAACTACTAACAATATATATTAAAGGACATCGGTCTCCTTAATATATAGGAGTATTCCTTTACAACAAGACAAAGCAAGCAATTAAATAAGAAATCATTTTAAAGCAGATTATTTTTAAAGTTGACATTATTAGTTTTTTACGAATTTTTCTTTAAAAACTTTGCCTCTTATACTAATCTAATCTATTATAATTCTAAAAACAAAGACAATTTTATAATAAATTAGTTTAGAGACCTAAAATTATACCAGTAACATTAATCTTTCTATGGGCAACTTGCAGTAAACTTGTTAAAGAAAGGATCTGACAGATAATAGTTCGGTTGTTTACTTACATCTATTGTTACAGTAGTATTATAGTATTAAGAGTACCGTATTTTCAGTAATGGGTTTTCAATAGATGAACACGCGAGAGTTATATAAAATTAAACTTTGTTTTCTATTGAAAAATGTTCCCGTATCGGTAAAAAAACATCGACGATGACGTGTAGAACGCGGTAGCTCAATTGGTTAGAGCAACAGCAAGGAATAATGAATAGAGCTCTAATGTTTTGATTTTCTCATTCACTAAGTAACTTTTAAGAACATTCAGTTGCTTTAAATCTTGCACCTCAATCGCTATGAATGGTTCACGTGTCAATTTTTTTTTTCAATTTAAAGTCGATGTTTAAGAAGGAAAATTTACAACATTGTCGCGACTGGATTAAAGTAAAGTAAGGTAAGCAACTAGAGGTCATAGACGTATTGTGCTTGCTAGCTCAATAATATTTTTGTCTAAAATTGCAGCTGTTCTAAATTCTTAAAACTAATAAACGGTCCAGTTTACATGCAAACATCAATTTAAAATAACTTGCTAATAGCATACTATTCCTCCTTAGTCAAAAAAAAGGTATAGTATGGTCATTACATCTCACATTATTAAATACTGTCTATAGTTTACGCGCATTAATGAAAGCATCCACTCTGGGAAGTTAAAAATCATTTTCAAAGAAGTTTAACTAATGTATTGGCGTTTTAGGCCGTTCCAGTCTTTTATTGTAATCTTACGTTATTTTTTGTATTTCAATTATGATGCAAAGCGGTACACATTCCGAAGACAGTTTTGGTAGTTCAAAACCCAGTCATTTTCTTTATAAGTTTAACTAGAATACGTTGTTTTGGTGATACCGTTATGTGGAGCTACGGGTCGTTTATTTAAATAACTAAACGTTACTACCAAGGGACCAATGCCTCAAAACTTATTCAAATCGTTAGAGTTTCGTCGTATAGTGTTAACTTACTAAAGCGATCTTCACTTTAACGCAGCTTGTTTCAATTTGAAATATTTGTGGACCGTGATTCCTTCATTGAATTTGAATTGTCTTATTTGCTTCCGGCGTCTTCCCTCCGCAATGAATTAGCCGCTTATCAAAGCGAATACGTCATCAAAGTAACTTTGAACATTTTGATTCCTTTGAAATTCACCGTCCTTTGCATATGTGAAAGGGCCGACGCGGGATTCTGTGAATATATTTAAATGAAATTAGGCACAATATGTTTTCGCACTGCTATTAAGTAATAGATGTACCTCGTCATACATCCAAAACAGATAGAATTATGGATTCGGCATTTTATGTAAAAGTAACTTACATTCATCGTTCGACGGTATTTTGAAAATATTGGATAGTCTTTATTATGTTAATTTTAGTGATTCGTGTTACTTTATAGTTCCACAGAGCGTTATCTTTTTCCCATAATAGTCCTATAAAGGAAAACGACATACATAAGTTGAAACTAAGTTCTTTTTTAATTATTATGTTTCCAACCTGTTTATATGTTACCTGTTAAAAGATTTTATTATACAATTATTACGAAGACATTTTGTTTCATATTCAAAATCAAGATAAGCTAAAGTACGGATAGCAAATAATTAAAGACAACTCTGTACTGAAGTACCGGATAATAAATTGGTCGGCCCGTTGACTTGAGGGCGTCCGTGCCGCGTCAGGTCATGCCTCTTCTGATGTTTCTAGTATCGGTGTGATGTACGAAATGAAGGTGGCAGTTTTAAAAATGTTGTTATAATAATTTACGGTTAGATAAAAGATGAAAACAACTTTCATCTGGCTCGTTGTTCCAATTCCACCTCAGTCTGAAAAGTCTGCAAACGGGTGTGTGGAAAATTGACTTCGAGCCACAAACAAAAGTCTACAGATGAAAAATCCTGTTAAGTAATTCTGGGTAACGATTTCAGATGGATTTCTTTATGTTCAAAACCAAATGGATGTCAGCACATAGACGTCATATGCCTGGGTAATTTCACCTTTTCATTAACTCCTATGTGTTAAAAGCTATTGTGCCATAACCAACAGTATCCTACTTACTGAAAACAAGTAATTGAAATATAAAATTTCAGTCTGATTGTCAATTGTATTTTTGAAAGTAAAAATGATAAACCACTTATTAATATCGTTAGTGATTATAATATGATTTATGAATTTTTAAAACAACTCCGTTTAAGAAAAACAACTGAATTATTAAAGGTTTATTTACATTTTATTATACCTCCGTGTGTAAGGTGAGTTCAGTGTTGCCGCACTACAATCCGTGCCTTATTTGTGCTAGAAGGTTCTCCAATTTGGCTCATTTGTTTATTGTTAAAGTGCAAGCACTTAGTTTTGTTTAATTATTGTATACCCTGATAAAATATCGCTATGATACACCCAAAGACGTCTACGAATGAAATACAGATATCATTGTGTGTGTTTCTAAGTTTAAGTTCTAATCTGTCTCTATATGTCCAAAGATTAAATTATGATTTTCAAACAAACAAGAATTGAATTTAAAAAAAAAACAGTTTGAAAATCATAAGTTAATAAAACTTAAAATATCGGATAAAATTGATTAGCCTTACGACAGAAAATTGACAATTGCTAACCTCTAGTTTTTTTTTTTTCATAATAACACTGGCTGGACATAAATTGATCGCAGATTAAAAAAAACGACCACATGACGTTATTTTCAGTAAAAAAAGTTCGTATGCATTTGAAACGTAGTGATTAATAATTGTTCAGTGTTAGTGTGAAAATAAACTATTTAACATAGGCTTTTTACTGCCAAAAGCAGGTTCATATTAGTTTTGTGTGTTCAGTTTAATTGGACGAAACTATGACTTTAAAATGGATCTTTCACGGCCGGGAATAGTTTGCAATAGAATTGAAGACAGCAAGAATCAGCTTTAACTCCAAGATCAAACGTGAATTAACAAAGGTAACATTTAAATAGTTTAATTTGTACAGCAAAGTTTAGAATTTGATTACGTACTTCGCTTCTATTCTGTTTATTTACATTCTAGTGTCTTTGAACTTGTCTACCAGACGTCTGGCAAAGATCTAGATAAATTTCAAAATTTTCTATAGATCGCCTCATTCAGACTAATTTACGATCTAGATTTGTATTCAAAACACGATTAACAATACAATGATGTCGCTTGTTCATAGTTATATAGATAAAATTTTTATTTAATATATTTTTTTGTATTAACACTTTATTTGGTGATAAGCCTAGAAATAAGGGAAAGCTTTTTGCTTTATGCATTTAAAGGATTATAAAACCGAAAACACGTCATAATGAATAGTAAATAATCCTCATACCTGTCACTTCAAATCCTAAAAGGTTCATCTCATACAATGATTTAATTTCGATATTTCATTGATCGTGCGTGTGAGCAATGAAATATCGAAATATCGCCCCGCGGTGATTAACGCGTTAACAAAGAAAAAAGATTTTGTCTTTTGTAGTTGTCAACTTGGCGCAGGAGTTTAAGTTACAGCTGACTTTCAGCACTTCATTTCTCTGTCTCGCATATTCGCGAAGATAAACTCCGGAGCTCCGGAGAGCGGTTAATTTTAACTGTGATCTTTTCTTTTTGTTTTTCTTCATTCTCATCGCGTATTATAAATCCTAAACTTGTAATGTGAAAAGCTAACTTGATCAGTGATTATCTTATCCTATTTAAAAAGTTTAATCCCAGTTATTTTATTGAATGCAATGCCCTTTGATTAACGTTGACTTCTGAATAATTCATGAATAACAGATTCGAATGACGATATTATACAAATTGCCGATTTTCAATCACAAAACATGTTGTTGACAGGAAATTAAAAAAGAAATGGTGTCGACATATCAACGCGATTTGTGTTTTTAATACTTTTTCTATGTAAATTTGGGCGATGCTCTGCGATATCCGCAATGGAACACCATAATTAAGAAAAATATGAACGATGAAGATGGTCGTGAAGGAATAACAAACAACAAATGT